TTTTGCTTACTTCGAATAATAATGTTTTGTTTAAAATGTTAAAAATTCGATTATTCAATCAGTATCTTATATAGCTATCACATTTGAGACATTAAATATTTTTAAAAATTTTATTTTCATTAATATAAAAAACAACAACAAAAAAACAAGTGTCATTATACAGAGTATTTTCTACAGGTTTTCAATTCATAAATATCTATGCAATAGAGAATATTTTAAGTTAATTGGCGTACATTTTTCATGCTCAATCTGTCGAATTGTTAGCTGAGATTCAAAAAAGAAAATAACTTTTGATACACCCTCTGGTTTCTATAATATTGAATAGCCACTGATGCCTAAGAACATTTGACATTGGCAAACAGAAAACTGAAAAGACAAAAATAAACAATTGTCGCTGTGAAATGGCTTAATACCGACAAATTACTACAAACAGATGTAGTTTATATATGAATCGCGTGCGAGTATATTATATATTGTGTATCTGGTCTATGAATTTGAGATTAATGAGCAATCGGAGACGCACTTGTCAGGTTGTCAAGAAAATAAAAAGATAAAAAACTTTACTTCCATTTCCAATTGTATGTGTGTTTCAACCTGAATTATGTGCGCTTGGCATGATTATATTTCAACATTTAATCGCTTGCAGCTGTTTGCAATTCTTTTTTGGATATAAGCCAAATTCAAGTAGACCAGAAGAAGCCAGACATTAGGTCTATATGCGTTCCAGTTGTTTTGTTTCTCAACTTATTTACAAATAGTGTGCACAACATTTAATTGTTTTCTGAATGAACATAAGCGTATATACGTTCTTAGATTAATTTTGATTATTTATGTATTTATCGTTATCGTGTGAGAAGCATGCTAAAAGCTTGCTTATAAAACCCATAAATAATATAATGAGTTCCGCATGTCACATTGTTTTGCCATCAAAAACTAAAATTTTGATTTATTTGTTTATGTCTGTGAGAATAAAATGCGTTTTATTTAACTTGTGATTTTTTGGTGTGAACTTATTATTACATATTTCTATTTTACTAATTATAATAGAATTTTAAAATATACTTGTCTTATTTTAATTATTTAGTTATGAGTAAGAATTTGGCGTCTGTAAATTTAAATGCCGATCCTTGAAGAGATATTTGTGTAAGCAACGAAAATTTATGGGATGATACCTTTTGCTACTTTTAATCCATTTTTAATGGCTTTAGCTTATAACATTATTCAAAATTTTTGTATTGTATATCCACAAATGGAAATTCCACAATATTGTTATACCAATATGGTACATATGTAAACTTTAAATTAGTCGAATGAATGTAAAATAAATTTAATTTATATTTAAATAAAAAGCCTATTTAAAACCTGTTACAGATATATTATTAATATTGTTCAAAATGTTCATCAAATCATTGATGATTAACCAATAAGGCGTATGAATCATGCATATATATTTACCATAAATAGTATCATGAGTATATGTTATTCCTTACTTTTGGACGTTGATAAACATTTAATATAAGCAATGACAGTGAATCATATTAAACTCAATTCTGGCAAATAAGTCGATAATTTATAATCAAATCAAATTATAATCGAAAATGTCCAAATCAATTTGTGAGAATGAAGCGATGACTATACATAATTGAGGACATGCGCTTGTCAATATTCAATTTTGAAACACTTCAGATGTCGCATGACAAAAAAAAACAAAGTCAACAAAGTGAATAAATGACGAGCGGGGAAACACCCAATCAAGAAGCTAACTCAGTCAGCTGACTGAATACAGTTCATTGCTAATCGTGGCTCGTAAATTTCTAGCCAAATCGTTGATCTCTCCAGTTTCGATTGAGTTCATAAAAATCACAACAATGATTTACAACCCACACATTTGACACGATATTGCGATAATGTTAACTTGGCCGTCCGGCTGGCAACTTCCTTATCCAGGGTCTGTTACTTTCATTAATTAAGCGCTGCAAATATTCGGACAGTTGGAGAAGTGCCTTGACGTACCACCCATCCATCCATCCATCAACCAATCCACCAATCCACCCATCAACCAGACCGACATTATCTTATCAAGCGAACTGAATAATAGTCTTTTGTCTCAACTCTCGTCAGAATGGCGTGTGTTGTCAGAGCTTCTAAAGCGAATTCCATTCTATTAACAGACCGTACAAAGTACAAGCGAGAGTGCCAGACTATAAGATACCCACTTACGTGATGTATAAAGTTGCCCATCATAATTAGACTCTTAAGCTTCTCTTCATGATTTCATTAATCGTAGGTCTTAAAATCCCCTTACTATTGATATGTGCTGACCTGAATCGTAATTGAAAACAAACATAAAACACCTTTTGTCGTTGCGGGAATACGTAGTCATAAGATCCGACATTTTATTTTTACGAGCTAGATTATTGTTGCACATAGCCCAGTAAATATGAATGTGCTTTATCTGACTCAACAACAAGTAAACACAAGTAAGAACGCCTATCTCGAGCACACCGAAGATTACACACCGTTGCAAGCCGGAGTCAACCTGTCGAAATCTAACTTTCACCGTAAATCCAAAAATCCGAGCTATATGAGAAGTATAATATCACTCATTTTAAATGAGTATGTTCAAAGAAAAAGAAATCGGACAGATTTTTTAAAATTCGTCATACTTTTGATGCGAAGAGTAACTCACCTTATTATTCAGAAAATATATTTCTAAAATCAGAGTTTTTTCTGTATTTCGGAATATATTTTCCTAAAATTACAAAAAAAAAGACAATTTTTATATAGCTGTGAGTTTTGTATATATTTATACAGAACTCCTTTATTATCTTTTTTGTTGCTTATTTTAAATATTAAACAGTAGTATTTTAATATTTAGCCAGTTTTTAAATTCAGAAAATGTATTCCAAAAATAAAGAATTGTATTTCTACTTGACAACGTCTCCTGCAATGTGTTACAAGCTTCACAACAAAATTATAATACCCTCTGCAGGTGTATACAAATCTAAATTTAGCTAAAACGTTATTAGTCAATGTGAGCAGTGTTTTCTTTTGGGCACTTTTTATAATAATTCTTTGAGAGAGTGGAACATATTCAAGTAACTTTTATACTTTTGAAATGCACGTCTCTTTATCAAGCATATTTTTTCGGTGGTAGGAAGCCTTACTAATGGATTAATTACCAAAAATATTCGAGAATATGTATTTATGAGTATGTAGCTGCATTTTACAAGTTAGAAATATACAAACCAATTTGGAAGCACAATGATGTCAGTTTTAATTATGTGCAAGTTTTCTAGAACGATGTTTTTGACAGCCGTAAATCTGTCGTATAGTCAGTCAGTCCCGTGACATTTCAATAATTTGCACTTATGCCGTAAATAACATAGTTAAGATGTGCTAATGCGTTCCGCATGGGACTGTCAAAGAAGTTGTCACAATGACGACTCCTGTCAACACCACGGCCGTGATATTAACGTTTGTCCCTGCCAACAGTTAATTACTGTATTAAATGCTGTCAATATTTGACGCCTGTCCATTGGCCTTTCTCTATCTATCTATCTGGCCCAACGTGGCAATGATTGGTTCCTTAGATAGTAGCTGTGACCCACACTGTGACCGCACTCACAACAATGAGCTGAGTTTGAAGAAGATGAGCTTATTACGAAGAAAAACTACTGGAAAGAGAATATTTAAAGGCACATTTAATTAATTTAATCTTAAGATAAATTCAGCGTTGTCAATTATGAGTCACCGTGAGATATGCCTAAAAAATGGTATAATATTGGATATGTACTTGAAAGTGGAATGAATGCATAAAGTATGTACGACCATGAGATACCCCATAAACAATTTTACTACTTTGCACGGGAAATTTATTTATAATTTATTATCCAAAGTGATAACTTATATATGATTTTAAGTTAAAAATTAGATTGACTATAAATTGTGGAAAATTATAAGGTGTCCCACTGATAAATGTATTATAATATATTCAATAATATAGGCACACAAATATAATTAGAATGCAATTTTAATTTACATAATTTTATTTTAAACATTAATTTTAATATATATTTGAACACTTAACGTTTTAACTTACCACTGATAATTATGCATAATAATTATGAGTTTAAAGCGAGTTGTTTTTATTTTTAGAATGGACATATGGACAATGTCTGATGTCAAGAATATGCATTGCTGCTTCCATTAGCGACAATTAAATGCGGCAAAAATTGTGAATTGGACTGGTTTGAGTACATTTTGTTTTGTTATTATTATTATTTATGACAACAAATGTTACGGAACTTTATGCACAAAGCGCGCAACAGGAATCAGAACAAAAATAATAAATAATAACTAAGCAAATAAGCAAATTAAATGTTTATTTGCATTTTGTGTAGCTATGTTGTCAGAGGAACACGATTTTTTCTTAATTTAATGTGTATTTTGCAAATTAGTGCCAAAGTAATAATGTTGAGCGAACGAGTGTAACAGGAAAACTGAATAAATGTACACAAACAAATAGTCAACAGGAAAAGCAACAGGTCCCTCAGTTTTCCAATGAAGCGCATGTGCAGTGAGTGAGAGAAAACATCAACTTTGTAGAGTATGTGCATAAACATTATGGAAAACAATGGACAATATTAGCATATATGTCCATTTAAATACTAAACTCATTTAAATCTGCTTAAGCTCCTTTCATTCTTCAAATTAAGTCGAATGATCAAAATATATTTGATTATAAAATTCAAACTTGGCGCTTAAATTCATATGCAGCGAGTTGCCAGTTAAACTATGATGCTGCCAGCTAGTCGCAAACAGTAGCTGAGTGGCAACGCTGTCACAAGTGCGCACAACGATGCGCGCGCCGCACGTTTGCTTGGCGCTAGTTTAAATCAAGTATGCATTGAATATATATCATTTCTTGTACAATTGCCAACTGCTTTCGACATATCGAAAAGGAATATAACATTTATATAAAAATATATATATTGAAAACGAATATAACATTTGTATGCAAAATGTCGTTTGGTTGGGCATTCAACACCGAAAACGGCTACTTGGAAGGACTTGTACGTGGCTTTAAGAATGGAATGCTCAAGCAAGCCGAGTATATAAATCTAACACAATGCCTAACGCTGGATGATCTAGTGCTCAACATACAAAGCACCGATTATGGAGTATTGATAAACAATGAAACTCAAATCGATGTGGCACTGATTGAGTCGCGTATGCGCCAGAAAATTGTGACGCAATATAATTACATACGTGTAAATTCGACGGAACCGTTGACTACCTTTCTGGACTATATACGATATGAGCATATGATTGATAATGTCGCACTACTGATGGCGGGTCTACACAATCATCGACCGATGAAGAAACTTCTGCCCATGTGTCATCCATTGGGTCTGTTCGAGCAATTGGAAGCCATCGAGGTGGCCAGCAATATTGATGAGCTATTTAATGCCGTACTGATTGATACACCGCTCTCGAAATTCATAACTGGTAAATTCGACAAGACAGATATCAATCATACCGATGTCGAGATTGTGCGTAGTGTCCTCTTCAAGGCCTATCTGGAGGACTTTTATAAGTTCTGCAATAAGCTCGGCGGCACTACGGCGAATGTGATGTGCGATCTATTGAGTTTCCGGGCGGATCGTCACTGCATCACAATTACTGTCAATTCACTCGATACGCCAATGGAAGGCCCACAACGGGAAGATCTATTTCCCACCTGTGGCAAACTGTGTCCCATTGCACGGTCGGCTCTAGCGAAGGCCACAGATTTCGAGGAAGTGCATTCGATCGTCTGCAAGGAAATGAACTATGCCAAAGTGTTTAGAAACATCGAGAGAGATACGGACAATCTAATGACGTTGGATGATCATTTCCTCATGCTCGAGGCGAAAAACAATGTTAAATCGTATATGCAGCAATTTCACTTTGGCTGCTTTTACTCCTACATCAAGTTGAAGGAGCTCGAGTGCCGCAATATCATCTGGATTGCCGAATGCATCTCGCAATGTCAAACTGATAAGGTTAATGCTTATATACCCATACCGCTGTTCTGATTTGCATTACTTTCTCATTCAATCTATGTATTATATATTCTTATTTAATTAAATATACAAAAATTCTTTAGAACAAAAAAAAACTTTAAGAAATTTGTATCAATTAAATATTTTATAGTTCCTACATATTATATTTAGAAAGTCTCAAGAAGTTATTAAGACTTAAATAACAATTCTAACGACCAAGGAACTTACAAATACGAGACTTTTTAAAACCTGAACCGTTATAAAAACTATAGTTTTCTTAAATCTTCTTTAAAAAATCCCAGCAGCTTAATGCTAAAATAAATATATTGAAAATCAAGTTTTTTTTTATTACTATCATTAAATTTGAGATTTAATTTGCGTTAGAGCGTATGGTGTTGAAACGCATATCGATGCTGGGTGATACAATTTTTGGCGTGGTTCTCATTTTCCCAACCCAAACCCAAAGGTTCTAGCGTGAAATCAGCTGAGTCGCGAAACGAACGCTGAAGCGATTTCAGCAGCAGGTTCTGGGTTTTCTTTCATTTTTTGCAAAACTCAGTTTCAATTCGTGATTCTAGCTGGCTAGTTGTGTCAAGATATAGCAACAACGTAACCGAATGAATCATCTTCGTTTGTTGTCGTGAATTTTTAACTATATGTATGTACATATATCATTTTTTCACTTTGCTCTCCAAGAGTGCCTGTGTGTGTGTGTGTGTCTATGTGTGTGAGTGTGTGCGTGAGTGTGTTCGATTTTTTTTGTTTTTTTCTTTTTGTATCAACAAAAACTATTTATTTCAACAAAAACTATTTCATATGGAGCAGTAATCGGTCTGCCTGTAAATGATACGGGCATATTGCATATATAAACAGATACAATTTACCGTTTGATATAATTACATAGACACACATACACATGGACACGTCAGTGTGCGACAAAAGCAATGCTTTTCCGCATTTTTCCGCGAGTTCAAATTTCCTGTTCTTGCATTTAAGCTCCTCATCCACTCCCTTCCTCTTTGGGATGCCAGAGCACAAGAAACGAAAAGCATTCTTTTTGGTTACTTTTTTTCTTCTCTCAATACTTGTAAATCTCGTTTGCTATGCGACTTTTAAGTTTAGCCAACGCTCATTTTTTGTTCGTGTTCTGGGAATTGGAAAAATTACAAAACCAAAAAAGCAAAAAATCCCCCCGAATGGTATAAATTAAAATATAATATTCAACGCATTCTTTAACTATTATTACGAAAAGAAATATTATTGAAATCAAACAAAAACAAATATGATTAGCAATGGCCAATCATAATAATCAATTTGGATAAATACAATAGTTATTTTTCCCCATATTCATGAAATTCCAATAGACGCTGCACGTCAATCTCACGAATCACAATCTCAATACAACAACTAACAAACCATTCCATTTCATAACCATTATTTGTGCCTTTCCGAAATATAACGACGAAGTATTGTATTATATATGTATGTATATGGGTGTGTGTGTGTGTGTGCAGCGCCATATACACGAACGGTTTATGTATGTTCGGTTTATATAGTTTGTTTTTGTAGGCTTTCGTTGCTTTTGAATTTTTGAGTTTCGCAGTATTGAAATCGTGGTGGTGGTTGTTGGTTGAAATTCTGTTCTGCTTCCTCTTCATATTGCTGAGAGTGCGCTCGCTCTCTCGCTTGCTGCCGTTTAAGCGTATGTAAGTGTGTGTGTGTGTCGGTGTGTGTGTGTTCGTTTGTTTTGTTGTTCAGCAAGGTGTTCGCTGCTTCGCTGTGTGTTGAAAAATAGTTAAGTTAAATTATTATTAAAAAATCCCGTGAGAGCAAAACTGAAAATTTACGCAACGCTTTCATTTGTAGAATTTCGAGTCGTCATTGTTATTGTGGCATAGAATCTGTGTTATTTTGCGGAGTTGCCAGCATTTCCATAGTTGTTAAATGTAATTAACGTTTTTCTTATATTCTCTTTTTTCTTCAAAAATATTCTCAACATAATAAGCGTAAATTTGTGCCTTACGTTTGTGTGTGTTTTATATACATAAGTGTGTGTGTGTTAGTGTGTGTTTTGAGAGAGAGAGAAAGATAGAGAGAGCGAGTGCTAAGCGCGCTCTTGTTTTTCGTGCGCTAGTTACGCTCTCAATTCATATATTTTCTATATTACAGTGGGGCACAGGAAATATTGAATTAAATGGTTATTATCACCGTGAATACAATTTAAAATTTTAACTAGATAATAAAGAATATAGATTTGCTAATATGGGGCGTAAACGATAATTGAAACATTACACTGCAAGTATATGCATTAAAGTTCAATTCAACCGGCTTTTAATTAGCGTGTGCCCACTGTAAGCTCTCAATCTCATGTGAGTTTTAGGACAGCATTGAAATGCTGGAAAATTACTCAGCTTTCAGTGATTTCGAGTTTCGAATGCAGTAGCGAATTGCGTCTTCTTCTTCTTCATCGTCTTCCCAGCTAATCTTCCTTTTTCCCAATCCTCAAGCAATGCGACATTTCAAATTGAATCACAACACAAAAAAGAGGTACTTTTTTTTGTATTATTCCAAGTATTGTGTTTCAGTTTGTGGCTTCTTCGAATATCATTACGCATCTGGCGGAAACTCTTATATACATATTTACGTGCATAAATACTTGAAGTATTAACGTTGTTACGAGCATTACAATAACACTCCAGTTCGAAAGAAAAGTGACGAAATCTTTGTACCCCAAAGTGAACCAAGTGCCTCGTAATCGTATTTGGCATGTTTATTAACATTTTAAAATCGTTTACTCACTATCTCTAAATTTAGTTCGGTGCTACACACACACACACATATATATATATATATAGATTTCGAGTGTGTGTGTGTGTGACAGTTTGTGTGTTGTGTGTGTGTTTGTGTACGTTTATTCTTTTTACCTTCCCCATTGTCGCTTATACATATTTCGTATTGAAATTTGTAATCAAAATCGATAAAAATATATATTTATTTGCCTATTTAGATTTCGTATGTATTTGTAAGCTGAGAACATATTGCATATGTATTTGTATACATAAATGAAAATATGTATGTATATATGTATTTATAATAGATTTTGAAGTGTTATTCTCCTCATTCGTCGTTAGATATGGGTCTATCTACAAAAATAGCGAAAACAACGAATCGATGAGGTTGACGGATTTATTCGATTCGATTTATTTATTTAAGTGGTTTCGAAATCTGGTTTAGTTAGATATTCTACAAATTCTAACCGGTTGGAAGCTTAATATTAGTTTATAATGATTTCAGAAATACCGAAAACTTAATCAAGGGGCAAATAAAGTTGCGATTAAGTTATTAAATACAGTTAAGCATCGTTAGGTTGAACTTAATATCAAATTCCAATATGAAAAACCAATTATTAAATACGTTTATTATTCTGTCATATTTTTTTAGATTTTTAACATAACTACTCGAAAATAAAGGCAAATAAAAAAGACAGACCGATGTTGATGCCGCGTTATTCCGATCCGGACAACCATAAGGACAATAGCTTTACGGTTAAGCACGGCCACACCTCCACGACCGTGGCCGCCCACACGAAAATGCGTCTGCTGAGCAAAGTGGAGCACAACATGCGCCAGCAACAGCAACAGAATCAGCAACAGAGTCCCGGTCAAAATCAGAGCATCAGAAAGATTATCCACACAGCCGCCACGGGCAATGGATTGGTTGGCGATGTGGATGAACTGCTAACGCCCATGCGGATTAAGGCACATGCATCCCCGCCAGTGATATCGAGTGTGGAAAGCGTTGGCCACGGCTCCGGCGATAGCGGCAGCAAGGAGTTACATCCACGACCCGAACGCAACCTGTGGAGTCGGCTCGAGATGCTTGAGATGCTCAACATAATGCAGCAGATGAACGCCCTGGAGCAGCTAAACGATCGGAATGTAAAGAGTGAACAGGTCTTCCGCCAGATCGAGCAGGTGATGCGCAGCAAGGGCCACGTGAAGAAGTCCAGCATACAGATCTGGACCAAATGGAAGTTCCTCAAGTCCACATATAACACAACAACCCGTCAAGGTAACGGCATACCCAAAGTTGTCCCTGAGGAAGTATATCGGGTGCTCTGTCGCATGCTACGCGAGAATGCCAGCGCCAATGGCAGCGGCAGTGGCATCAGCAGCGAATGCGGCAACTCCATGGACAGTTCAAATGCTGAAATGGCCAAAACATTGGCCAACAGTGACGATAGCAAAGATGAGCTCGGCGTAGAGCATCCCATATTCGGTTTCTGTTTGGGACTGATCAAGCCGGAACCCGTGGATACAGGTGAGTGTATTCTTTATAAGATTTGTGGGATTCAAATTGTCAAACAATCTCCCAAAATTGGGATAATTTCCTTTGTGAGCAGTACTCAAAATTAAATGAATTTTTTGTCATTCTTATAGGCTACGAGACGACGACAATGAACAATGCCAGCAACGAATCCGAGCAAGAGATAGAATCCGTAGACTTTGTACAAAACGGGGAACGTACCCAGGACGCGACACAGTCCTCATTGGAGCACACGCCATTCATGGTCTCGGTTAAGAATGAGCCGGAAATGGATCTGGGCATGGATGGCACCAACACACCGCCGCCCACGGCGCCCACGTCGCCCTCGCCACCACCACCACCACCACTAACACCGGCAGGCCAATTGGAAAGCGATAACAAGTGCCAGTTGTACCCAGCGAAGTCGTCGACAACATCAACTTCGCTGCGCGTTGCTGCCTTTGCGAATGATGGGCCCAAAATGACGGCATCCACGCCCACACATGGGGTACTGCAGATCGAGCGTCCGATGCCGGCGCTGAACAGGAATCCTCTCAATTCGACTGCTGGTGGCAAGGGGAATCGCTCGATGCCGCTGCAGAGCACCAGTAGCATTAATTTTGTGCATCCCACTACCAAATTGATGCTGCCTCGCAAGCAGCTGCCAGTGCGATTCCCGCGCGAGATTAGCGTGCAGCCGGCGAGGTTGGGTGCCATGAAAGTGGTGCCCATGCGGGAAACGGGTTACTTGCTGCGGCCAGAACGTATGATACCCGATCTGGAGCAGTCCATATCGCCGCCACAGTCGCCTTCGCCGCCAATGCCCAAATATTCCATACCCTCGTATGCCTCAACCAGTCGCCAGGCGCAGCAGCAACAGCAGCAGCTCAGCGAAGAGCATAACCAGCAGCAGCATCCGTTTCGCAAGCGACGTCTCCAGTTCCTGCAGCAATCGCCTGTGCCCGTCAAGCTACAGCGCAGCTCCACACACCATGAGCACAAGCCTCATGGCAATTATCGCAGCTACGAATCGTCTGGCGTTCCGACAGATGACTATAAGCATAAACTGGTCGCCGAGGAGGCGCAGCGTCGCAAGCAGCAGCAAGAGGATCTGTTCAAGAAGGAGCTCACCCAGCTGGCCACGGCCATGCGCTCGGCGCAGAAGGACATGCTCGAAGATTTCTTTCGCCAGCAGAAAATATTCGCGCGACGCGAACATGAGTTCCAGCTGAAGCAGGACTACTTGGTGATGACTGCGTTGCGCAAGCAAACGGATGCACTGCTACGCACAGCCAAGGAACTCATGCTGCCGGCGGGGGAGGAGGAGGAGGAGGAGGAGACGGCGGAACCACAACAACAACAGGAGCAGGATCAGCAACAGCAGACGGAAACAGAGGATAGAGCCAACAATATGTTATTATTGCAGCCGGAAGTTGAGCTGCTGGAGGAGCAAGAAAACCAAGAGAATGAGGAGATGGAGGATATGGACGAGATGCTGGACGAGTTTGAGGAGAATGACACACAGTACAGTGATGATTGTAATCAAAGCGATGCAGCCTTGGAGGTGTCCACATCCTTAGCCAGCGAAGATGCCTCAAATCATAGCGCTAGTTTGGGCGATGATGCACAAATATGTTAATTTAACCCCTAGTATCAAGTATTATCACAAAAACTATATATATTATTATTGTTATTTCTAATTCCCAAAAAAAAAAAAAACAAACAAATCAAAACAAAAAAGTGAAACCAGAAACATTCCAAACACATTCCTTAGTTTTGAGAAAAGAAAAGGTAAAAATTATATAACAAATATACGCCTTTAAATATATATAAATAGATCTGTATATATACACATATTCCTAGAGCAAAGCCCACATTGTTAAAAGACTTGATTATATTTAAGCACTAAGAAAATGTCAAAATACGATTAATTAAAATGTATTTATTGTTCTGGTTGGTAGTCCCCGAATTGTGGATTATCGCGAACGCTTGTGCTATATGCTAGCTATTGGAAACATCAGAATATACGCATACATAGTGATATTTAAGCAATGTCAAAATCGATGCAGAAATGGAACCCGTTTAAATATATTAAATGCTTACTTTTTATTAAGCGATTTAAATAACATTAATTTAACATTCGTTTTGTTTTCTTCTGTTCTTTGACATTACGTTCAAAATAAAATTATTACAATCTGCGTTGGGTAAACATTATAAAAGAAATTCAAAATCCTTGAGCTATTCATTTGCTGCATTGACCAGGTCAATAGCCATTTACACATTTTAAATTTCGGCTTCCATTTCAGCATGTTGTACACATTATAAACGAAATAAAAGCTCATATAAATTTCTTAACAAGAAATGTATTTAGTATGCAGTATTTAAAACAGACTCATACTTATGACTAACGCAAATGAAAGATCGACGCCGTAAACTAGCGAGAAATCAATTGGTTGCTTATAGCTATATTCTCTCAAAAATTTGTTTAAACTAAATACTACCCATATAACTAGCTCTAGCTTAAAATGTGTTTTGTAGGTATATATATATATATATATATATATATATATATATATATATATATATATATGTATATATATGTGTGTGTGAGTGTGTGTGTGTACGTGCACGCATGTGTGTGTGAGCGTGTGTGTGTTTCACTAAACTATAGTTGTGTTAGTGTTGCACAAAGATTAAACGCCTAAAGCGAAAATTATTATTATATTTAGTTGCTAGTGTTTTATTTTACAATTACGATTAGGCCCCCCCACTGAATATATACCCCGACCGATCCCCTAAATATCGATAACCCAACGACAGCAACGATCCACACTGCATGCCCCCATCTCTAGTCGGGCCGATAGATGGGCGTCTTGGGTATATATTCAATTAATATAACATACTCCATCATGGAATTGGAATCACATTGTTGCTTATGCAGGCGCCAGTGTACGCCCAGTTTATGATATAAATGACTATTCTCCCACTCCAACAGCTTGTCCAGTGTCAATTGCGTCTGCAAGGATGGATCAAATGTTATTATTTAACTTATATATATATATTATATAAATTGAATCTTACGCGCTTGCTTAGACAGATGACGGGCCAGAGGGAGCAGCCGAGGGTGCAGCAGCAACAAACACAGCCGCAAAAGAGCCACTTGACATTCAGGGGCAGGGTCTTCTTCAAGATGCCATTGATGCGACCGATGGTCGCTTTATATTCCTCGGGCGCAACGCGCGATAATAGGCCGCAGGGGAATTCAACGTTGAAGCGATTGCTAAGGCCAAATCTGACAAAAAAAAAAATAAAAAACAAACAAAAAACATGAAATAGGCATAATAAAATTACAAATTCTGTGCTGATATAAAATATGCGTCATATATGTTGCAAGTATTATCAAGAAAAGCCGAGCAATTGAATTGCACAAAATTCTGTATGCTTTGTGGTTATATAAGTCAATAATTGACAGCTGGGCGCCAAATGGAACAAGGTCATTCGCACCAACGCACAATCAATGTTAACAAAACAATCGCGCCCAAAAAGAGAATTTAGCTATCACAAGCCTTGAGCTACATTCTCAATTAACGCATATTTCGATGTATATAGATATATATATATTTATACATATATATAAATATGTACATGTCTTTAGTAAATATTTACACTTACACGGTCATGTTGCCAGCACCTCGAATGATAATCGGCTCCGGGACTGGCATCACCGTCTGATCCTGAAAGTGCTCCAATTCATCCAACTGCTCGTCCTCATAGATGGCATCGAAATCGGAGAAAGACATCGCGACACGATCTATCCTCGTTTCTAATGATGGGCGGATGGATGGATGGGCAGCAACGACGCTCTCCCGTGCGTCCCAGAAGAGAAGAATTAGTAATACTTTCCAACGTTTTTTGCAGAGAGCTCAACACATATTTCATTTGATATTTCGAGTTGCGCTGCTTCTAGTGGATCTCTCTATGCGTGTGTGTGTGTTAGATTTAATTCGAAATCTCAGTCTGATTGTTCTGATTGTTATTTGTACTTCACTCTCTGTGACTCAAACAATAAAAATCGCCGCCGTCTTTGTTATTTACTGTTATACTGATGATGCTGCTGCTGCTTCCGCCATACGCGTTGACGTTCGACTGCACTGATACGAGGAGCTGCCGTTGATTTCTTGTTCCTTTATTGCGTTGCATTCAAATGTAAATGCACACACATATGAAATATGTATTATAATTTTAAGCACAAAACAATAACCGAGTAGCTGATATAAGTAAATGTGCGTGTCTGTGTTTGTGCGAATCAGCCAGCATTCATTTCTCTGAAGGTTGTGCAACACTGGCGCTCGTCCGCTTTATTATTGTTGTTGTTGTTGCTGTAGTGGGGGGCCAAAGCAATATGCATTTATTCGTTTTTGTTAGCTGCGTATTTCGCAATCACCTTTTTTCCACCAATTGCTTACAATATTTTGAACTGAATGCTTGTGCGTTACTTTAATGACGATTTATTTCGATTTATTACTCTGAAAACAACTTTGTATGATCTAGCACAGTTTATTTGGGCTCCCAATGCGTTTTGTAATAATGAAAATATCTTCTTTACTTGAGTTTTGTGTTTGTTACAAGACGAACGACGACCAGCTGGCAGCTGTTTGTGTTGCAGGGTTGCCCAATCGTCGCGAAAAAGTGAAGTCACTTTCAAACATGCGAATGACCAGCGGGTTAATATTGATTTATTAATTAGCTACATTTATAAATAATTTAATGTGTGTGTATATATATTTATATATACATGTATATATATGTAAATAGCACTTACAAGCGTAAACTATGCTCTAACTAATAATGTAAAAAAATATTGTGCACAAATTCGACAGATTAGCAAACACCAATTAATTTGCAGCATTTTAACACAAGCTATTAATGTATGAATGACAAGGCATATATTTTGTTGAGTGTGGGTTTCTCTGCATCTCCGGTTTTCACTTCTTTTTCGAGGCACTCGGACTGGTCGATTGGAAGACCGATGAGGCTGACATCAGATTTTCAATGTATTGTCCCAGCACTTGATTCTCCGAACGCAATTTCAGATTCTCATTCTTTACGGAGTCAACGCGTTGGGAGAGATCGTCCAATGTGTTCTGCAACTCCAACACTTGGGTAATCAAACGCGATTTTTCCTGAATGTCATCCGGGCCTACGTCAATCGTGTCCAGTGAATTATGTGAGGAGTCTGGCGTTGAGCTGTGATTAGTGAACGAAGAGCGCAGCGAATCCATGGAGCGACCATTTGCAATATTATGCGCTGTTGACGGCTCATCATCGTTGATAATAACTGCAAGGCAACCAACAAACTTTTATTTATACCCACAGCCGGACGCGCCCAACTCTTCCACATCCACAACCCAAATAATAAAAATACTCACCCTGTGGATCCTCATCAATCGCCATTATGTTGTCGTCGTTGTTAATTATGGACATCGTTAAAAATGTGTTTATGCCTGGACCGTTATAAATTAACTTCAATTCTTTATTTTATTAGAAGATATTTCATGAAAAACTAACTACCACTTTTTAGTTACAAAAATGCGTTGATTAACACTGTCTTCCGCAAACTTTTCAACACTCACTTTCATTGCAAATTAAAAGAAGAAGAACATTGATGGTTTACGTTAGAATATTATTATTTTATCCAAAAATTTTATAATTTGTTTGCGCTAAAGCGAAGAAAAATCAATTTGATTTAACATATTTATTCAACTTTGTTGACAAGTTTTTTAAATAAATACTTATGCCAGTGGATAGAGTGATTAATAAGTCGTAATACTACTCTTGCTGCTGCTGCATTTTATCGAAATCTTTAACTGCAAAACTTGCAAAAAGTGAAAAGTTAGCTGTTGTCAACTTGAAAAAGGTATATCAATTAAAGTGTAGTGTGAAAATGAGTTGAAAATCAATCCTGTGATGTTTTAACGTTTTAAAAATAACCGACTTGAGTTAGTTGTTGTTGCTAGAGTTGCCACCTGAACAGCATTCGATCGACGAATTAAAATACACAAGCATGCTTTTTGCCATTATAATTTTTAACGTTGCACTGCAAACATCAACTTCAGTTCGTTTTTCTCAAAGTAACACACAAATTGTGATTAATATAAACCAAGTGCTGATAAAGTGTTAAAAGTTCATTAAAAAGCCAAGAGCATTTGTCCTGTCACTGTCTATGGTGTGGAACAACAGTTAGCATATACGCCGAGCACAGAAGGTTGGATAAAATTTCGTCTATTGCCAAACAAAACAACATTTATGGAGGTAATGCTTGTCTATTTGCCAGAATTCAAAAGTTGCCAATATTGATGCGATTCATTTAATCCATTTGGTTTTAGTTGTTTTGTGAATCCAGCCAGACAAAAAAAGCCAGCGGCTAAAGAAGCAACAACTTCTGTTCTAGATTACAGCATTTTGAACCCGAAAATATTTAAGGTAAGCTTTTTGGTAAGTTTTATATCATCTAACTGTTAAACTAAACACCAAATTAGAGTAATTATGATTTTGGCATAGTAAGCAAAAGACCAGATAAGGTATGCGTACATGCATGTATACATATATGACATTGACATCAGTATTCACACATACGCGTAAATATACATACGTAATAGATCGAACATCAATGATTTTCAGTAATTTCAGTTAAGGATACGTGTTGCGTAATAAAACTCCATGCAAATGGACTTAAAATTTTGATTTTAAATCTTGCCCATGCAAATGTAAATTTCCATGCAGCATACCTAAAAATGATATCAATATTCAATATGGGCGCTGCCAACTTTGCCTAAAATATGAGTTGCTAAACGGGCGCGCAAACTAATTGCATGATTTTTAATGCTAGTGTCAGATATTTAGGAAAAACAACCACTTCATTTTAAAATATACTGGTTACATTGTATTTAAATCAGTGTCTCTTAATTTCAGAGCAAAGCAAGCGTCAATAGAACTGAAACGATTTTTAAATATTGCAATTGTGCGGAACTGCCATCCTTGGTAAAAACCGGACGGCAACCTTAAAAAATCCATAAATTAAAAATACTAAAATTTGTAATAAATTTAGCGCGTGATAACATTTAATATTGCAATAATCAACAGTTATATCTCAAAATATGAACTATAAACGTGTAATATTTAAATAGACTGCGAGCACAATAGTGAAATAAAACGGATAAAAAGTGTACAAATTTGACAAACAAAAAATACCAATAACTGGGCAAAGGTGCTGTTGGTGATTGGATAAAATGCCAAAACTTGTGCGGCAACGTACGAATTCTATTGCCTGCAGTTAAAAAGAGTGGAAAAAGACGCCATTTGAGTGGACTTTAAATATAAGTTGTTGTTGCTTTTTTTTTCAAAACTGCCAAAAACAGGGCCTGTGCTAAAGCCGTATATATATTGCTAATTGTAACAAAACATGTTGCCCGCCAACACAGGCATTGCAGCAACAAAGCGGGAAGTGCCACTGACGATGTTGCCAATAAAACCGGGAAACGTTGCTGTCTCTGGCACAGCAGCACAAATCAAAGTCGCTGAGGAGAGGCGTTATTTACCCATTGCTCCCATGCCCACCAAGCCGTGTAATGCTCTAAACCTAAACACTTGCAACAATAATAATAACAACAATAATAATAATATTAATAATAATAGTAATAAACAGATTAATAACAACAACAACAACAATGCGACGACAACTGCTATGAAAACCAAATTGACTCCAGTCAATTTTGTACAAAATCCAATGAAGGCAAATGCGGCAACAGTTGCACAGCCTCGTTATAAATTGGTTCCTTCGAATGCCTCGTCCAATGGTAATGCCAACTCGTCGCTGCTATCCCTATTGACGCCTAAAACACTTATCAAGCCCAACAACAGCAATACTCAATCTCAGCCTGTGGTTATACGGTCTGTTCCAGCAATCGCAACAATTCCCGTACAACAGCAGCAACAACAGCAGCAGCAACAACAGCAGCAGCAGCAACAACAACAACAACAGCAACAACAACAAAATGGAACCGTTTACATTCACAATAATGTAAATAGTACGGGAACGTTAGGAGGACAGCAAACAACAAATGTTATAACTCTTGTGGCAAAGAAATCGGGTAAGTTCAGTTACTTAAATTAGGTATGAATTATATAACACTAAATATACAATATAAGTAAAGGTTTTTTTTGTTGTATTTTGTTTTTGGAGTTTCGATCGCGCACACATATTATCTACATGTGCACATGTATAAGTGTGTTTTATATTCGATTTCGGTGTGGCTTTCAATCCATTTTATTATTTTTTTTGTTCAGCCGCCACAAGTCGCCCTGCTCATTTAGTTGTTTGTTGTCAGTCAGTCAGAGTCAGTGTGTTCGTGTGTGCGTACGTTTGTGTGTGTGTGCGTAGTCTTTTATTATTATTATTATTACTATTACTATTATTTGGTTTGCTCTGTTGTTGTTGTTGTTGTAATTTAACGTGTTTACCTAACTGCTGCTGTTCATTTACATTTGTAAATTGGTTGCTTGACGAAAATAAGTCTCATGTGGCTATTTTAAGAATTATATAGTTCACGCTTTTTCGTTTTTATTATTTATTGTTGTCGCTGTTGTTGTTGTTGCTGTTGCTGTTGAGTTTCATGAAATCGATTGACAAGTTTCTTGAAAAGAAATTGCATTTGCAACCCAACGCCAGGTTTTTCAAAATGTTGAAATATGTCACATTGGGTAAATACAATAAAAGTAAAAAAGAAATAAAAACAAAACGCAGTTCATATTTGTTGTTTATCAACGTCATGTATATGCAAAAAAATTAAAGTCGCGGGCGGGCGTGTAAAAAAATACAACGACAACGATGATCAGGTTTTTGCATCTGCAGCTGCCTTAAAAAGAAAAAAAAACGACGAAAACTTAAATGCACAAGCGAAGAGGCAACATAAATAATGCTGTATAATGTTTAGATTTGTAGATCGCCGAGCAGACTCAATGTAATAATTGTGGCAAGCATTTTACACTCAAACTGCATTCATGACTCACAATTAAACACGACATAACAAGAAATACAACAATAATAGCAACATATTCTTTTTATCAGAGTTTAAAAATGCATACATATATAAACAGTGTGTGTGTGCATTATTGTGTACACACCTAAATATATTTTCACTATATATTTAATTAAATTTTCTCTCTCTCTCAATAGCAAGTGATCCTGGAACGCCACAGCTCTCATTGAAATCCCGTACGCCAGTTATTTTGAGCAAAGAGGCCGTGGAGAAATTGCGTTTAAAGTTTGGTCAGGTGCAGGCGCAGGCCAACGCTGGAGCGCTCATCCTTACCAAGCCACTGAAAAGCAAAAGCAACTGCAACAACAACAATAACAACAGTGACAACAACAACAGCTTGATTTCTAAGCCGGCACCGGAGAGAAAAGCCAACCAGGCGGTGCCAAAGAGCGGCACAATTGCTGCTTCCACGCCCACGCCGTTGACCATGCCCACCCCGGTGACCGGACCCACACCTGTGACGGCGCCCACGCACTTGACCACGTCCACGACTGCGATGCCTATGCTGATGCCGAAGCCCAAGCACATGCCCACGCCCATGCCCAAGTTGACGCCCATCTCGATGACTGCGTCCAGCAATGCTATACCCACACCGTTAGCGACTCCCATGCCGACGCCCATGTTGTCCATGTCGACGCCTCTGCCCATGCTCGTCCCGACGCATCTGCCCGTTCCGACGCTTATGCCAAGTCTAAATGTTGATCTGCCCGAGATCCAAATCAGTGCGCTGCCAGCAGCGACGCTCAATGGTGCCAAACTAACGAAATCACTACAAACGACCAGTGGGGTTCCGAAGATGCCAGCACTGCAGCAGATACCAAGCAAAATCCCAAACACAAGAACAACAACAAGTTTTGAGCAACAAGGTTCAGCCAAACTGCAACGCTCTAAATCGCTGGCTGGGAATGAGCAGAATCCAGAAATCGTCTGCTTGCAAAACAATGCCACAGAGCGCCGTCATTCGGTGGCCATTATGGCCAAGGAAGTGGATGTGGTGATTGAGCAACCGATAGCCATCGAAACCATAACCATAGACGATGATGACAGCGACGAGGAAATGGAAAGGGAAAGGGGGGTGGAACAAAAGCAAAAGCAAAAGGAACAGCAGCAGCAGCAGGATCAGCAGGTTGCAAGAGACCAGCAAGAACAAAAACAAGCATCTAGAAAAAATTCAACGGCAAGTCGGAGCAGCGTCCAAAGCATCATAAGCACCATTAGCAGCAGCAGCAGCGACGGCAGGAGCAGCGATGTGGAAGTGATTATTGTGCCAGAAAGTCAACCAGAACCTCCGAAGCCAACGGAGGAAGTCATGCAACAGCAACAGGAGCAACAACAACAGCAGCAACAACAACAGCAGCAACACCAACAGCAGCAACAGCAACCGTTGAGCAACTCAAACAAGCTGAGCATTGTAAGAGCCGAAACGCTGTCATTATCCAAGGAGGACTTTGAGAAATCGCTCCGTTGCGATGAGCAGGTGTCAATCAGTTCACCACCTCTCGTGTCGACCACCAGCAATAACTCGAACAGCTCAAGCAGCTTGCAACCAGGGCTTATCGAAGAGGAGAAGAAGTCAGAGCAGTCCATATTTAAGGGCAGCATGGTGCAGAACTTTGGCATGCTGCAATGGATTGATCAACATCATCCCGGCACGCTGCTGAACTCCAACTTGCGCTTCGGACTCAATCGCTACAATTTGCTGCATCTGACGGAACGCTGTAAGCCACGTCGTGGACCAGCCAATTACTTTGAGCGTGCGCTCTTCGAGCGTCCTAATCGACGGACCAACACCAGCTCCCATCCATTGCTCTATTTGTGCTCGCGCTGCAATTGCCATGGACCCGCATCCGATTTTTTATCGCAGCGTGAGTAAAAGTCTGCTTAATATGCAAACTGATACCAAAATCTAATCTTTGTCATGTAATCTTTTGTAGACTTTTGCTCGCTGTATTGTGTGCAGCGAGCTAATAAGCGACGCCACTCAAACCCGTCCAGCAATCGGCACGAGAGCAAACACAGTCGCATGGAGGAATCATCATCATCATCATTATCAACAACATCATCAGCGAAACTAACCAATGGGACAATGGTACACCAACAGAAGCAGCGGGAAAAGGAGCAGAAGCCATCGGCTGAGAAGCGCTCCTTCCGCTGGTCCGAATATCTAAAAATGAAGGGCAACGGCAATGCGGCACCAATTCATCTCTTCCTCAATCCATTTCCCACCAGTGCCAATTGCTTTGAGCGCGGCATGAAACTGGAGGCAATCGATCCGGAGAATTGTTCGCTCTTCTGTGTCTGCACCATTGTCGAGGTGCGTGGCTATCGATTGAAGCTCAATTTTGATGGCTACTCGAGCATGTATGATTTTTGGGTCAATGCCGATTCGATGGACATCTTTCCGCCCGGCTGGTGTGAGCGCACCTCACGCATTCTCCAATCACCCAAGGACTATTGTCCGGATCGTTTCACCTGGTATCGTTATCTGGTTAAGACAAATGCAAAGGCAGCACCATGGGCACTCTTCACCCATCTAAATGGACCGATGCATGCACTAATCAATGGCTTTCGGGTGGGCATGCATCTGGAGGCGGAGGATCTAAATGATACGGGCAAGATTTGTGTGGCGACCATTGCGGATGTGTTGGATGAGCGCATACGTGTCCATTTCGATGGCTGGGACGATTGCTACGATTTCTGGGTGCATGTCAACTCGCCATATATACATCCATGCGGCTGGCACGAGGGTCGCCAGCAACTGATTGTGCCACCCGATTATCAAAACATCAACTTCAACTGGACGGATTACATAAATGAAGTGGGCGGCATTGCGGCGCCCGTGGAGCTGTTTGCAGCGCGCGAACCCATGGAGTTCCAGGCGCACATGAAACTCGAGGTAGTCGATCAACGCAATCCGTGCCTGATCCGCCCGGCGACAGTGGTCACCCGGAAGGGCTATCGCGTCCAATTGCATTTGGATTGCTGGCCAACGGAATATTATTTCTGGCTGGAGGATGATAGTCCCGATCTGCATCCGATTGGCTGGTGTGAGGCCACCTTGCATGAGCTCGAAACTCCGCCGGGCTTCCAGCAGCGTCCTCTAGCCATGCGCTGCGAAGTGAAAGGATGTCGTGGATATGGCAATGCCAAACGTTTCAATCTCAACGTGCACGAGCTGCGCGACTGTTGTCCGTATGCGCCGGAGAACTGGCGGCAGTGGCGCTCGAAAACAGTGAAGCCACCACGCGTACTTCCCGACCATATCATTCAAGATGAGTCACCAAAGCAGCAGCAGTTTACCGAAGCATCCACAGAAGTATTGTTGAGCAGCCGGAGCATCTCAACAGACTTTGCTCAACCCAAGCATAAATCAACGGGTAAACGGAAAGCGAATAAATCCCGTGCCAGCTTGGATGAGCTCAAGTCGGAGATCAAGTTGTTAAAATGCGAGGAGGAAATGCCAGCGTCCATTGAGAATAAGCGGGAACCCAGGGAACCGTCGCCCATGCCCACAGAGAGTGAAGTTGATCCCCGCTGTCTGCAAATAGCCAAATCCATTGTGACGGAATATGGACCACAAGTTGTGCGAAATTATCACCTGTGGCAGACAAACAGCGGCTTTGACATGTCTCAAGTGAAGAGCAATCCGCTCCATTGGACCAATTGGGATGTCTTTGAGTTTGTCGAGCGTGCCCTCAAGTCCACCAGTATTGCCCAGATGCTATTCGACGCGGAGATCGATGGACACGCATTGCTTATGATCGGACGCAGAGATTTAGAAAAGTACTTCCAGCTGAAGATCGGCCCGGCTGTAAAGCTCTTCTCACTCATAGTCAATCTTCGCATTGCGGTCGTCTGCAAGTTTAAGACGCTGCACACGGAACGATTCCCTTATCTGGCCAGCGTAAATCAACCAACATTGAATGGTAAACTGGAACGGCCCGAATCTCCGGCAGAGGAGAGTTTGTCGGCATCGCCAAGCGGATCTGAACAAATGGATGCTGAAGATGACAGCCATGAAGAGCAGGAGGAGGATGAACAGGCGGAGGATGAGCAGGCGGAAGATGAGCAGGAGGAGGATGAACAGGCGGAGGACGAGCAGGTGGAAGATGAGCAGGAGGAGGAAGATGAGGAAGAGGAGGCGGACGAAGAAGAGGAAGATGGGGTGGAGGAAGACGAAAGCGATGAGGTAAAGCCGGATGCAGAAGACGAAGACGAAGCGATGGAAGATGATGTTGATTATGATCAGGAACTGGAAGAGGAGGCAGAGCAGGAGCGAGATTACACTGATCATAAGCAATACCCAAAACGGGAGCTAACCGACGAGGACGACGTTGTGCTTGACAACGATGATTTCCTCAGCGTTAAGCCAAGTTTTGTTCAGAGTGAAGATAAGGACGCGGATGTCGTCATGACGAGTCGATCCCAAGATCTGCTGCCGGCCACTGATGCAGTAGCAAACATATCGTAGGGCAACCTATTGTGCTTCAAAGCAAGTGTATTTATTAATTTCTTTAATCCCAAATTTATCATACTATGGCAATTCAATTTAATTAGTTGACCTATTTGTATAAGATTTGTTGCGTTGGCTCGTTTCTCTCAAAAGATATTGTTTATACAATTTACAACTATAGTAAGTATTATTTTAAGTCAATCGACATATACATATATATATGATACGAGTTTTGTGTTTAATTAATAAACAAAATAATTACAATCTGTACAAGTTTTAATCTAATCTATACATATTCTTAAATAAACTTGTAAATAATGTGAAACATTGTTCAATTCACCCAACTTGGTTGAATCAGAGGGAAATCAGCTTTAAATACACCAAGGATAAATTCGCATCCAAATGGATTTCGGATTGGAAAAATCTCCAGTCCCAGGCGAACTCTGTGTGATTCTATATCTTTCATCTGAAAAAATTATTATTAAAAAGTACTCTAGATGGATGTGGTAACAAGGGGTCAAAGGAATGTGCAAAACTGGATTGTTTTCTTCAACTTTCAGCAACTTTTCCTTAACTCTTTTGTATACAAAAACCAATCAGAGCTGGATTGCATTTAGGGTTGCGATTCTTGCGACTTTGATTTGCTCTTAGTGATGTCCAAAGTTGATTTTGACATTTGCTCAAGTTCAGCTTCGTCCAAAGGTTTTGATGTTACTTCACGTAATTCTGATTGCTTTGAACCTGTTCCGGTCACAGTGGGTACCGGCTCTACTTGCAAGTCTGCTCCTTCTGCACCCTTTGGTTCTTCAGGCTCCGTCGATTCAGTGCCTGTGTCGCTTATAACCAACGTGCCATCTGCTTCGAACATTACGTTGTCAAATTGATGCGTCACCTCGACAAACTGCTGAAAGCAAACCATATTTTCATAGCGCAATTCATTGTGAAACTGATATTTTTTCAAGGCCAACAGCAACTCCTTGTCCGGTATAATGCCCGTGGTTTTCAAAATTACCATTAGCGCATTTAGCTCCTTAACGCTGAACTTCAGAAAGGAGTTGTCATTGAGCGACTGTCTTGCAACCGGCACAATTTTCTGCAATATATTTAAAATCTTAACGGAGACTCTTCTAAAAAATGCATATAAACAACGCTGAACGTGTTTATTAGCTGGCAAGATCTGTTATTATATTCCTACATGCATTAAACGGCTTCTTTTTTTCAAAAGGAAATGTACAAATTCATAGTAGTAGTGTAAAGTGGACTTTACTAACGAGAGTTTGACCTTTGTCCGATCAAATTACAAAATATTACTATTTAAGTGTTTTAGCATTTTTTGAAAATCTGAAATTGCCATTTGAGTCCTGCCAATCCGACTAACCGGATAATAGAACATAAAATATTACCTGTCCCACCACCTCTATTATAGTCCCCCAATTATGCTCGTTGGCCAGCTGAAAGATTTGCAGCACCGCCGACATGGACCAATTTTGGTTTGCCAACTTGCCAATGTAAACTTCGACAAAGTCGGGCATTTTATATTTGCTTGTCAAATAGATGAGATCGGCGCTCATCTCGATGGTGATATCATTATATATCTCATAGGTGTATATATAGAGCAGCAGTGTCTCATATGCATCCGGCGAGGCGTCATCCACACACAGTATCCGGTTATTTCGCTCAAAGTCCTTATGTCTGATCATTGATGCGAATACTTCAGATGCGGATGCCAGCATTATTTTGTGACAACGAAACTGGCGACAGCATTGCTTGTTGCGCTGCTCTCCTCCATACCAGACGTGCAGTTCACAGTCCGACGAGTGTCCATTACGGAGCAAGTCCAGGCGTCGTATCTTGCAATACATATAAATTTTGTAATTTTATCCGATTGCTTGGATTAGCAAAATCTAAAGATTTAGCTTGAAAACAAAAGTACATAGCATCCTGTTTTGAAAGAGTTTTTCAAAACATTATTTCGTTCGATTCTGAAACCTTGCTAACAAAATTTGTTGTTGTACATTATGTCAAATTCTCAAGAGAATTTGGATTGTTCTTCGGATGAGGAATATGCCGAGTTGTTGGTACCAGAGTCGAATAACAGTATATCAACGTCAACCAAGCAGCGGCGACTCGAGTACTTTCGCAAAGGTATCGATGCCGATTGCGAGGTGCATGTGCCCAGAACTTCGGATACTGGCGATGCCCCTTTAGATGGGAATGTGTGTTATAAGAAATTTCGATGCCATCGTGTATTTTTGGCAACCGCATCCGAAAAACTCGAGCAGGATGTTTTTCAAAATAGGCATTGGAATGGTGTGCTGCAAATCCATGGTGTTTCGCCGGAAAGTGTTGAAATCTTTTTGGAATTTATTTACACGTTGGAGGTGACATCTTCGCAGGTGGATCTGCTTATAATTGGAGATATATTCATATTGTCGTGTGCCTACAATTTGCCCGATCTTTTGTTCAGTTTCTCTCAGAAGCTAAAGGAAATTGACTGGCCAATCGAGGGCATATTTCCGGCCTTCAATTTGGCATTTCGTCACAACATTTTCGATCTAGAAAATGCCTGCTTAACAGTAAGTTTTTTTTACTATAGATTTGTATATATAATATCTGTATGCGTTCATCTGTTTTGTTTTATTGCAGAAAATTTTGGAAAATGCAACAGAGCTGATAAGCCATTCAAGTCTTATGGAACTGCAGATTTACGCTTTCAACTACGTTATCCAACATTGGTTGGCGGCAGAGGTGGAATATTTTTAAAAACCACTAATTAGCTTAATAAAATATTTAATCTTTACTAGGCGTTTCAAAGAGATGAGCTAATTGAAGTGCTGAAGCAATATCAGACTGCAAATAATTTAACATTTACCAACGCGCAACAATTTCCCCATTTTACTAAGATCGCCAAATATTTTCGCAGCGTTCTTTTCAACGCCGAGGGACTAGTACACAAAAATTTATTTTGAGCGCACTGTTAAAATTAGTCGAATATTTCGACTCACACAAGACTCAAATGTGCGTTAACATAGCTATGTCAACTGACAGATGGCTAAATTGCATCTGTAAACAAAATGCGAATTGGGATATTTGTTTTGTATAATCTTATCAGGGTGGATTTCGTGCAGCCCTAATGTATCGCAATATAATCATAAACTCAGTACACAAAAATTATAGCTTAAAATGTTATCGATGAATTATGAATAAGAAAATCATTAATGTCGTTTAGGGTATTTAGAATTTTTTTTTCCCAAAATTCAATAAAAATACAAATTGTAAACTTGGCAATTGCTGAAGCATAAACTGAGTTTTTTTAATAATGACAACAAATAATTATGAGATTATGTAATTTATTTTTTTCTTTTTATATGAGCTGTATATGCATTATATATGTGGGATTTATCGAAAGAAGCAACGATATTAGTCCAAACAGTGAAAAACGCAATAAACTATCGAGTTCAAACCATCGATATATTTTGCCATCCCTTTGTGGACCTCAACTTGTGGTTTCTGTACAGCATTTTTCCGGGTGTTACAGTGTAACAGTGCTTAAAAAATATAAATTGCATATTGCATATAAAGTAAACAATACTCGAATCGAGAAAACGTGCAATAAAACGTGGAAAGAGTTTTTCGCTTATTACAGCAATGAAAGGCAGTTAATGGTTCGCTACTTGGATTTTCGTTGCCGACGTCGGTTCTCCTCATATACAGATATAGTAAACGGCGCAATCGCCAGAACGCGACTATACTTCCCACTGTGCAGCAGACATAAAGTAATTGCAATTTTGTAAATGCATTCAATTGTTTGGCGTTGGGCGGGGGGATTTTCAACTGAATTAAATTAATTTTTTTTCTTTTTTTTTTGGGGCGCATGTTTTGTTTTCTTGTGCACTGTACACCATCACATCAGTATGCTTGTGTTGTGTATGCATGTCTGTGTTGGTGACTTTTTGTACACATTTTAGGCGGTGTGGTGTGAGGCCCTCGCACAGTGTTCGATAATTATCGTTGCTGTTGCATGTCTATCGATAGGCATTGGGGATGAAATGCGCGCGAAACACAGCAATGGGGTCCAACGCAAATACATACACATAAATTACATTAAATTAAACTATGTATGCAATTAATGGAAAGTGTTTAAATTGCTTTATTCAATTGCAGTTAATGTTTCGGCCTGTGACCTGTGTTTAAAAGTTTGCACGAGATTCAATCGATCAACTCAACTAACATGGAGGAAATATCCAGTTTAGATTCCTTTGGCGCCGATTCAAGTGCCAGGCCAGAATCAGAAACATCGAAAATGGATGAGGAGAATTCAAGGGAGAAGGTGGCAACAACGCCAGCACTGCAGGATACGCCAGCATCGCCAACAGCCGAAGAGGATGCGCCAGCTGAAAATGTCAGCACCGAGGCCGCCTCGGCCGAGAAAACGGTTGGAACTCCAACTGCAACTGCTACAGAGGGCGATGATGAGGATTTTGAGCAGATATCAGAGGGTTCGTTGGAAATGGACGAGGAAGCTCAATCACAGGAGGAAAAAACCGTTGCGGCAACAAATAATGAGGAACAGGAGCAGGCACTGCCAAAAGACAGTGACAACCAACAAGATGCAGATGATGCTCCGGCCAACACAAGCACGGGTGGAGTGCCCGACGTGGATGAAGAACCGGATGCAGGTGAAGAGGAGCAGGAACATTGCAATATCAATACCAGTGCCGATGATGTCGATGCACTGCATCAGCGAGATGCATTCGAAAATTTAAAGTGTGCCGATGAGGATGCCGCCGCTGAAGGCAGCGATGCCGTCGATGGTGCTCCCACCTCCATGGAAGCAATGGATGTAGACGATGGTGAGGTTGAATCCGAAACGGCGCTTGATAAAAATACGGTAGATGACCCCGATCTCTCCGGCGATGTTGAGGATGTGGAGATGCGCTCAGAAGGTGCCGATTCGCCACATGCTGCTACTGATGCTGCTATTGGTGATGATGAGGAAGAAGCTGGCGATAAAACGGTTGATGGCGGCAATGCTGCTGATTTTGACACACCATTCGAGGGCAGAGACGAGGTGGACAGAACAGATGAGCAGGATCAGGATCAGGAACACGATACTGTTGCATCCAATGACCAAGCAGATGATGAGGCAGATAATGCCGATGCTGAAGAATCGGGCGAAGTTGAGCAACTAGAAGATGAAGCTACTGAAGCAGAGCAACTGGAAGAAGAAGCTACTGAAGCAGAGCAGCTGGAAGAAGAAGCTACTGAAGCAGAGCAGCTGGAAGAAGCTGCTGAAGCCGAGCATGGAGATGGTGAGCACGACTTAAGTCCAAGCAAATCTATGCCTATAACCGTTTTTTTTCTTTTGTAGACACCGTTGAGAACGTGCTGGAGCCGGAGGAGTCGGATGTTTGCCTCATACCCGACGACCAGGAAACGGAGGTCACCGAGGCCGAAAAGGAATTGGCTCGCGAAAATGCCGAAAAGGCTGCCGAAGAGGAAGAAGCCGCTGAACAAACGCAATCGGCATCCAAATCCCCCGTCTCCGAGGCGGATGCTGCAACAGAAACACAAAACGATAAGGATGATGATGTGGATGACGACGGTGCACCATCGGAGGATGCTTCAGGAGTGGAAAATGGTAATTCAACTCTCAATTATGTATTTGCATTTCATGGATAAGTTAAGCTCTACTTACCAACAACAATTGCCAATCCCTTGTTCTCTGCTTTAATTTATCCTGCATTTGGGAGCAGCAGACGCAGCTCAGCCTGATAAGCAAGGTGGAGCAGCGTTTGCACAAGAGCTAAAGGTGCGACGAAATTAAATATAGTCGGATTTTAAAAATCTATTCAACTTCTTCAAGTCTCCATTATTATATCTTTGCAATTAAAATATTTCTCTGATAAATATTATACAAATATTGTTGAAAATACAAATCATATATATATTTTTCTCATTATCCAGTGAATACGACGCTTAACGACGAGGACACCCCGGAAGCGGATGCGCCCGAGGCCGATGAGCCCAGTCATGAGGAATCATCGAGTGCAGCAGCTGGCGAAGCAGGTGCCGCAGCCAAGATAATCATCAGCTGGATTGTGGGCATCACGGAAAAGTGCCAGCAATGCGACAGTGAGAAAAGTTGCGGTTATCGCTACAAAAACAACGATACGGATACGGAAAATGCTGGTCAAAATGCCGAGGAGGAGTCAGAAGCAGCAACAGCAGCAGCAGTGGGCATCCATAAGTATCTGTGCGATCAGACCTGCTGTGATGCATTTTTGGCTGCTCATCCGGGCAAATACTTTTTGGGGCGCAAGAAATTCCTCGTCGAGGAGGTCAGCCAGGATATCGCAACACCAACAGCAGCTGATGACGAGGCGGCGACAGCAACGCCCGCTGATGGAGGAAGTGAAGGAGGCACAGAAGTGCCGGAAACTGCGGCGACGACAGTCAAGGAGGAGACTTGCCTGCAGTGCAAGGAGCTGAAGAATTGCAAATATTTCATCAGACAAGAACAGGATACATTCTATATATGCAACGATGATTGCTTCAATCTGTTGAATGCCGAGGAGCCGGACAAATACAAACTGAAGCGTCATTCGATAAGGGTGCGGAATATTGGAGCCACCACGATACGCTCGCCGAGCAAGAAACCGGAAACGAATGTGGTGGCCCGGACCAATACCGAAGCGGAGGCAGCTCGTCTCGATCGCTTGGAGAGCTTTAGACGCCGGTGCGCGGACTGTCGGCTGGAAATGAATGGGAATGACAAGCAGCTCATTTGGGAGACAATGGACTTCTGCAACCAGGTATGCCTGGGCAGCTATCAGCGTTCGTTTGGCGGCAATTGTGAGACCTGCAAACAGGAGGTCAGCTCCATAGCACTGGGCAAATACTGTGTGCGGTTTGGCTTCGAGGTGCGTCAGTTTTGTTGCGCCGCCTGCCTGAACACGTACAAGAAGGGCCTGAAGACGTGCTCTTGCTGCCAGAAGGATATCAGCAGCGGGCAGGAGGGCTTCCTTGCGCCCGTCGGTGACAAGGATCAGTTCAAAGACTTTTGCTCGCAGGTCTGCCTGCGACGCTACGACAACATGTGCAATCCTAAGAAAAAGCTGCGCACCGACATGTGCGGCGTTTGCAACAACGAGAAACCGGTGCGTGTCGAGATGCTGCTCGAGGAGAAGGAACACTATTTCTGTTCGAATCCATGCTTCTCGGCCTTCAAGTTTGTGAGCAATGTGAATGCCGATCCATGTGCGATGTGTTGCAAGTACTTTGAACGAAAGACCACCGATGCGTATACGATCTACAGCAATGATCAGGCGACGCCTAAGATGTTCTGCTCGCGCATCTGCATCAATGTGTACATCATTGTGAATCGCCATATTGTCTCCTGCCAGTGGTGCAAGGTGAAGAAGTACAATTTCGATATGATCTATAAGCCGCATGGCAATCAGGAGACACTCACCTGCTCCATCAATTGTCTGACCATGCACGGTGTCAGTTGTAACATATCGGCACGTGCCGTCACCAAGTGTGACAATTGCAGCAATACCAGCACACCGCAATATCATCTAACCATGTCGGATGCATCGATGCGCAATTTTTGTACATATCAGTGTGTGATGCAATTCCAAAATCAATTCGCCCGCACCCCACTCACCCTAGACAGTGATTTGCCATCGACATCCGCAAGCAAGGCGCAACAGCAGCAGCAGTCTAACGCACAGTCACGTGGAGTCAACAAAAATGCAGCACCTTTCCCAACTGGATTGCCCAAGCGCGTCAAATTGAAGTTGTCTCATCAGACGGTAAGCTTTCAGCTGTAATCTGCCATCTCTCACAAACACTAGAAACATAGATATCGATACGATGCTTTGAGCGATATCTAGTGCTAGAAAACACACAAACAGGACATTGACATTGCCAGACTGTCTTGGAAATGCATCTACTACACTAGACATAAGCTGACAGTTATTTTTTTGAATTTCTTTGCAGTTTGCAGAGTTTTTTCTTTAAAGTGCTTTACAAAATATTAACAATTTTTATGCATAGCTAAAAATAGCTAATAATTTCCTAGTTATATTAGCGACTTTTTTTTACGTTTCAAATGCATTTGAATTGTTGACAGACATAAATGATTTAAAGCTAAGTGTAAACATTGGTTGTAAGTTAACAATTGGCTGAAATGTGTATTATATTGATTAGAAGTTGATATTTGCATCTATGCGTTGTACAAGCTATTATCAGAATTTGTTATAATTGCAGTAATAACTTTTTGGAGTGATATGGAAACGTGGATAGTCTAGCAAATATTTAGCGTTTTTTTAATGTTTAAATAGTAATCCATTAACTTGATCTCTGCTTGCAGTCCACACTCAAAAATAGCGCTGGTGGTGTTGGCAAGAAATCTGCGGGAGGCACCGTTGTCCCTGTCATTTCGACCGTACAATCGCTGGCCAGTGGCGAGACAGAGGCGCGTATTGGTAGCGTAACTGTACGACGCAAACGTGGTCGCAAACCGGATTCACCGCCACCGCTGACGGTGAGCATTGCGCCGTCCTCGGTGGCGCCCAGTGGCGATGTGCGTGGCCGTGGACGACCACGCAAGCATGTCGACTATAGCGTGGCACGCTCCCCATCACCGCCAATGGGCACGCTGCAGGCGAGACGCACATTGGGCACGACCGGTGATTTTCCCGCGGCCATAACGGAAACAAAGATAATCACTGTGCCGCCGTATCCGAAGGCGGTGCGCAACGTGAACATCAGCTGCAAACCGATGATGGTGACTGCTGTTGCACAGTGCACGCCGTCTGTGCGGGATTGTGCGACGCAGACGGAGAAGGATTACTCGAACAAGGTGTTGATACCCGTACCTGTGCCGATCTTTGTGCCACAGCCCATGTACATGTATTCGGCGCCATTTCCGGTGCCCGTGCCCATTCCGCTGCCGATACCGGTGCCGATCTTTATACCTACGACAAGAAACACCGCCTCTGGTATACTAAAGGAGATTAAGAAGATACAGGATAAAATGCCCGAAGATCCATTGGAGGCCGAATTGCTGATGATGGCCGAAATGGTTGCGGAGGAGAAGCACGAGTCCGACTCCGATTCCGACAATGAAATCAAACCCGATCCGGGCCTGGTCAATCTGCAGTACCAGAACAACCTGGACCAACAGCAACAACAACAACAGCAGCAACAGCAACAAGTGGTGGACGACAGCACCGCCAGCCATAATCCCTACGGCGATGATATGCTACAAATTGCACTCAAAATGGCCACCGGCGACTATGACAATCACCATCAGAGCTCAACTGTTGATCTGGAGTCATCAATGACGGCCAATACGATAACAAGTCAGTCCCCTATGGGTCACGATATGGGCCAAATGGCTGTCCATCATCTGGATCAGCATCATCACATGATGGATGCGGCGCAACGGTAAGTCTGGAATCAATTTGCAAGCAATTGCATTTTGTACAATTATTCGTTTTCAGTTCCCCGCGTGGTCGGAAGCGAGGCGGTGCCAATATTGGTGGAAGTGTGTTGGATTCTCCATCGCGCAACAGTCGATCGCCTGTGAAGCGACAGCGTGGCAGCGAAATGGATCACTCGGCGCTGCAGCAACAGTCGCAGCAGGCCCAGCAGCCGCAGGAGAAGCCCGATGCGCAAATGTTCCTCAAGTATACGTTCGGTGTGAACGCCTGGAAGCAGTGGGTGATGACCAAGAATGCGGACATCGAGAAGAGTTCGCTGAGGCGGCGACCTTTCAAAACCGAACTGCTCCAAATGACCGCCGACGAACTAAACTATTCGCTCTGCCTGTTTGTAAAGGAGGTGCGCAAGCCCAATGGCACAGAATATGCGCCAGATACAATATATTATCTTGTACTGGGTAAGTGAATATAGATCTGCTTGTCGAGGGCTCGATATTAATTACCATTTTTACAGGCATTCAGCAATATCTGTATGTGAATGGACGTATTGATAACATATTCTATGATCCGTATTACGAACGTTTTACGGAGTGCCTCGATGAAGTGGCGCGCAAGTTTTCCGTTCTCTACAATGATTCGCGTAAGTGTCTATCCACTAAATGCACTAAATACTCTCAACTGATTACTCTCTTTATTGGCCACTTATAGAATACATTGTCACACGCGTGGAGGAGGAGCATTTGTGGGAGTGTAAACAACTAGGCGCCCATTCGCCTCATGTGCTGCTCAGCACGCTCATGTTCTTCAATACCAAGCATTTTAATCTAACTGTAAGCACAATCTACCCTGTCAATTAGGAGCTATTAAATTGATATTGTGTACAACAAATTTCAGACCGTTGAGGAGCATATGCAATTATCGTTCTCTCACATTATGAAGCATTGGAAACGTTCATCGCAGAATTCCAAGGCACCCGGCACACGTAATGTGCTCTTACGTTTCTATCCACCGCAGGCAGGTCTGGGTAAGCAAATAAATATATAAATATAAGTTATGCACAAAATTAAATACTCTAACTTATTATATAATGATGCAGATGCCAATCCGCGTAAGAAAAAGGTCTACGAGCAGCAAGAGAACGAGGAGAATCCACTGCGCTGTCCCGTGCGCCTATACGAATTCTATCTATCCAAATGGTATTTCAATATAAAACCATTTTATATATATGTAGGATTGTCTTAATTCAATGTTTTCATTTGCAGTCCGGAGAGTGTTAAGACGCGAAACGATGTTTTCTATTTGCAACCGGAAAGATCCTGTGTGCCCGATTCACCCGTTTGGTATTCAACGCAAGCGCTTAGCCAGGATGCCCTGCAGCGAATGCTGCATCGCGTTAAGATGGTCAAGGAAATCAATATAGCGCTATTAACAACTTAATATTTAGTTAGGCATGCTAATAATACGCACACCTATTTTTAATATGATCGGGCTCACGTTAACATCTATAACAAATTTTGGTGCTTAGCACAAAATCGTTTTCGGGCAAAACCACCAAAACAAACAACAACAATACCAGCTAAACTAAGAAGATCATGGCCTCTGAGCGACTCCCAACTGCTTAAAACCATATACAGTTGTGTTTTAGAAGTAAATTTACAAGGCATACTATGTATATATATATATATATATATATATATATATATATATATATATATATATAACAAAAACAACAAATAATAACACTAAGTTGTTTTACGAATTCTATAATTTGCGTGCCCCGAGAGTAGCGCAACGTAAGGCTCTGTATAGATTATGATTTAAAATTGAACAACATTTCAACATCGATTGATCTTTAAAGCAAAACCAAGTTCATTAAATAATTGGCATATTGATTATTTCACACATTTGATTAGTTTTAGAAAAGTAAGTCCACCACGATGACGATTCACTGTAGTCATTTAGAATGTTAAGCCTAAGCTGGTAAGGAATGTGCTAACAAAAACAAACACGATCCCCGAGGCAGCGGAGATTGTGGGATGGAGGAGTCAGCGGGTCGTTGTAAATGTACATTGGGTCTATAATCTAAACATTTAAAGAATACAACCATGAAGCTGCAGTGTACATAGAGCATAAACATTAACAAATCGCCATTGTCGCGCTGTTGTTCTAAGTGTTTTAATTGTAAAATGCTGTACTCCTTAATTAAAAACGTAATTTTAAATATACAATACAATAATATATATATTTTACAACGCATACAATTTTTAAAGACTGCAGACTGCGGTAACTTTTTTTAGTTTTATTGATGGCAAATGGTTCTAAAATGAGTTTAAATACATATCTCTGTTGGGTGTGTCAAATGTATATAACGATAAAATCATGGAAACAGCATCAATTTTTGTCTGTCTTTCTGTTGTTTTCTTTTCATTAAGCAATTATATTCTTAATCGTAAGTCTGCACTTCTGGCCAATACGTGTTGTGCTTAGTTTCCTTATATGGGCTTTCAGTTTCATTAACAATAATATGCAGCAGTGTTATTAATACATACAAGATTACAAATGTTTTTTTTTTATTGAAACAGGCTCAACCAGACGCTGGCAAAACATGCATAGTTGAAACTAAATTTAGATATATTTTTATATGCCCAATCGGACCCAGATTGGTTCCCGTCGTAGGACATCGGTTTTGGTCATGTGTGTTGTGTAGTTTGGGAGATACTAGTAACGTGTTCAAGGCGCACAATGTGAGGCATTTCGTTATGTCTTTTATTTGTTTATGTTTTATTTATTTTTTTTTGAATATATTTTTTATATGATGTATTTGCACACTTTTGCTCTTTGTTGTCCGACGATCGATCGCCGATTACCATTCAGCATCGCCGTTCGATTTTTGAAACACATAATCCTTGCCGCGCATATTCATAATGCCATCCTTGAGATAAAATTTCCATTTGTTGCGCGAACGTGTGATCTGCAAGAATTATATATATGAATTCGCATACATTTTGAGAAAGAGTGCAATAGCCGCTTACTTTATCATACTGGCAAACAATAACGTTATCTGTCTCAAATACTTCAGCCGAGTCCTCATCGGTGACATCGTCTTCGCTGTTCAGCGGCTCCTCTTCGGCAGCATCCTCATGTTCCGCATCCTCGTCATCATCTCTGTCCAAGTCATCGTCGTCATCATTGTCTATGTTATCATCACTCTCTTCGCTTTCATCCTCTTCGGATGAATCTAAGGCGCCATCTAATTGCTTGGCAATCGCCAAATTTTCTAATAATAACAATTGTCGAGTTGAGTTGCATTTCAGATTTTAGATTTGGTGAAGTTGTCTTACTCTGGTGATTCGCACTGCTGAGTGCCGCATTCACGTGCTGCTGCAGCACGGAGGAGGCTAATGTGGTGGGCAGTGACATGATGGATGAGATCAGGTGAGCCGTTAGTATTTGGGTCAGCTGATTCTCCTGCAGGGCCGATGCCGGCACTTGTATGGTGAGCACACGAGATTCCGAGTTTGTTGAGCCAGGTGGCGAAGGTAGCGTTATCTGCAAAGGATTTGTATGAATTAAGCTCAACTGGGCGAACCGATTGTGTTTTCAATTTACTCACATTAACAGGCATAATACGATTGGGATCCAATTGAGCAACAATTGGTATGGATGGCTGGCCACCTACGTTCCCACCACCACCGCCAGCCACTGCCTGTTGCCTCTGCACCATGCTTGCACCGGATGTGGGATGCAACGGCGGTGGATTCTGTGATGTGACTTCCTGCTTAATGGCACCAACACCGTTCTTAATGCCACTGCCCGCTGCACCAATCGTGGGCGGTTTCCCTGCAACCGAAGGCGATGCCAGTTTATTGCTGTCTGTGCTTGAGTTGAGCCCCCCTCCGACGGCTCCACCAACGGCACCGCTACTCTGTTGGGAGGCAGCCGCAGCGGCGGCGGCCTTTTTGGCCTTGGCATTGGCAGCCTGCAAAATTCGACAAGCAGTTAGTAAAGATATTCCATGTGAACAGCGGGAGATAAGTACAGTGGTACAGTGGTATTATTATAATTGATTCAAATTCGAAATTATTATAATTTCAGCAATCTTCATTTTGAAAAAAAAAGTTAAAATTAAATATAATTGATATTTCAATAGGAGTTTCCATATTAAAGAATGCTTTTAAACGGAAGAAAAATTTGGTAAAAAAAATGCATTAAAACTCACATTCGAAACTTCAAATAAAAATGGTTAATTAAATGTCATTTTAATTCTATACCACTGAAGATTCAAATGCAAGTAAAAGTTTGCTCAAAAATTGATGCACTCTGTGACTCTCATTAAAAATAGCGATTCGTGACTCTGAATAATTATAGTTTTCGAGTTATCTTTGTACTTGTAATTTTACCTTGGTGTTCTGCAGAATTTAAATGCATATAGATGTGGGTTTGTTTTTGGTTTTTGGTGTTTTGATGTTATTGTGCGGGTGTTTTTTTTTTGTTGTTGCGATGATTGCAGTTACATATACATATACATATACATCAGAAGATGCATATATATTTTTTAAAAGCAGCAATCGGTGTTGAGTTGGAAATGGTGGTGCGCACGAGCGATTGTTGATTGTTGTTGTAATTGTTGATTGCAGCAGAGCAGAGAGACAGATAAAGAGAGAAGAGCAACACGGTTGTTATTGGCTTTGAGAGGTGTAAAAGATCAATTACCGCAAACAATCAAATCAAATATACACATATGATGAATACAAACAAATACACATTACACAATGTGGAATGGAAACAGACAAAATCGCTGCAAATCAGTCAAGTCACTCATTTAATAACCTTGGCAACGATCATACACGTTGCTTACCTTTGGATTATTGGCCACAATTGGCGGCGGATGGTGGCCAGGCTCGCCGGGCTCCGGATTCAATTCGACCGCCTTACTTGCTAACAGCTTATTGCGCCAAACCTGTTTCATCTCCTGCAGCACCTGCTCATCGACGCCCTCATCCAAAAAGGCATCGCGCACATTTGTGATAACATCCTCAATAACAGCATGATAGACTTTTAGCTAAACAAAGTGCAAGAGTGTGTTAGTTATTATATATTAAGTACGTTTGATAATTATAAATATTTCTTATCAATGTGTAGATTAAAGTTGCTCAATACATTTTGTACCTCATATCAACAACTGTTAACTGTGGGCATACAAATAATAGGGTATTAAATCTACGACATGTTTTCTTTCTTCTACCTCAGCTTTGTACACTTCCAGCCTTAAAGTCATTCAGTCAACTTAGATTCTAAGCACACAAAAAAGTAAATTGCAAGATTGGCAGATGAACTCAATACATGCACACGCATAAGTGTGTGTGTGTGTGTGTGCGTGACTGCATGTATCTTAAATTCGAGTGCTATTTTTGATTCAACTCAACTAAAAACATTCGCACATTTTTCATCATATCTGGAATTAAAATATGCAATAGGTAAATGACTGTGTTGTGGCTATTATCAAAGGCAAAGATAAGAATTTGATGCTGATAATGAAATAAACTGCACTTATTTGTGGCTATTTTCAATTCTTGCGTATAACTGTGAAAACATCTGATTAAACACACACATACACACATAAAGTTCGAGGCATCCTTCAGCGATACGAACTGACTCACACACATACAAACGCACAGAATGCAGCAGACATGCTGCCGCCGCCGACACAGGCTGAAGGCAACTATCGGGCGGAGAAGGAGGCGGAGGGGAAACTTTCACTTTTGAGGACAGCAACAATTTTCTTTCCATATGTCAAACACATACACAATTGTCCATGAATAATTTGACTGTTTGCCGGATGCTAAACTCAACGTTAGGTTTTCTTGTGTGTTTTGAGTTTATTTTTTATTGCTTTTGTTAAAGATACAATAGATGAGAGGAGATTTAGCATTAAATGTGACTTACCACTGATGTTTGGCATAGAGCCATTTGTACTTTTTTCTCAGCCAGCTTGAAGCCGTTTTTGTTTGTTTGCTATTTGCCAAACTGCACACGGCAAATAGACGAGCAAGTTTTTATAAATTACAATTAAGAAATGAAAAAAATGCTTCACGTCTGACACAGGCAGATGTGACAGAGATACGAAGCAAAAATACGACTTAGCAGCAGTGCAACCTATTGCTGGGCAAAATATCGATGTATCGGCATCGATACGTCGCTGATACACATTTATTTAAAGCATCGATGCTTTTAAACATGTTCACCAGGGCTACAAAAGTAAAGCAAAATATGAATTCGCTAAAAATTCATTTTTAATTTTATAAAATTGAAGGTATTTCAAATTAATTTCAATTATGTAATATTAGTTTATCACTTTGAATTAAAATATCATCTTGCTTGCTTTTGTTAAAAACAACACAAATATATTTAAACAACATTCCTTTATAAAATTTGTTTTTCGATTTAAACCATTAATGCTAATCATATTCATCACAATTCTGACGTTCGCTATTAAATTCCAACTCGTCCTCCTCCTCGTCGTCATCGTCATCAGCTTCCTTTGCGCCCGGCTTATAATCCAAATCAGAGCCACCCTCTTCGTGAAATGGATCCTCCTCCTCGTCGTCAGATGTGAGATCAGCGTCAACATATGAACTTTGTGCTTGGGCGCGTCGTTCCCGTAAACGATTGCTGATATTCTGGGCGGAATTAACTAATGTGTCCTTTAGCTGCAGTTGGGTGCATCTTATACTGCAAACATCTTACTTACAATCGGGCGGATGGGAATACTGCTGGAAATGCATCGGATTGCGGCGATAGCACGAGTTCCCAAATGGACAGCTTGGCGTGCCCAATGGAGGCATTGGATAACTGGGCCGCCGATAATCTGAGTCACCTGGGTGTGCCTCCGAATTACGATGTGCCGGATTTTGTCTAAGAGTAGTTAAGCGTTTTACTAAGTTTTACATGATTGATGAGTGATTTAATTGATTACCTGTAGCAGCGTATGCCAAAATGGCAAGACGGTCGCAAGGTGCTCGAGGAGACCGAGCAATCAGCAGGCGGAGCCGGAGACTGATTGCTGTTGGTGGGTTCCGTTTTTACAACAATGGTTGGCTCCGTTCTTACAGCTGCACCGCTTGTGCTTGTACCGGAACTTGATATAGCCGCACTGACGTCATTGTCAGCATTGGTGAGTGGTTCGGTTTTTATGGCTATTGGAATGTTGCTACTGCTGCTCGGCTCTGCTTCACTGGAAGGCTCTACAACCACTGGTTCAACTGCCGCTGTTTCCACATTCCCTGGTTCCTGCTCCGTTGGTTCCTCTTTCACAACAACATTATTGTTGCTTGTTGTTGCATGATTGTCCTCAGATTTTCTTCGTTTGTTTGATTCACTGGTTTCCACATTTGCTTCCTCCTCATCAGGTAATTTTCGTTTACCAGACGTCACAGTTTCCAAATCATTTTTCTTGCCACTCGTCTCCTCCAGATGCTCTCCTTCATCGGCACTCATTTCAGTTAAGTTCGAACAAATCAAAAGCGAAATCAAAAATAAAGTGACTATGGTGGGTGAATTTCACAACAATGGCCGCGTTCTTCAGAGTTATCGATGTGGTTTCGATGGGTCAATAATCGAGGATTTTTTTTATCGGCAGGCGCTAAATTGCATATTTAAAAAAATTTCTTGATAAATTTAAGATTAATACTCAATTGTCAACACTGAATAATGAAGACTAATAAAAATCGTGTAATATTTGCATTTTCACATTTACTTTCAATGTTAAATAATTGAAATATTAACAACACTCTTTTATACAAATCTAGTTTCAATAAAAATAAACTTCGAACAAGTAATAATTGTTTGTACTTAAGGCTGATTGTGAATTTTATTTAAATTATACATTTCGAATTATTATATATTCGGTGTCAGTCGTCAGTGGTCGATCTGTCTAGGGAAGCAGCTTCCAAGAGGACCTGCATTAGTTTATCCTTGGTTAATTCCGATGTTTTCTCCGACAATTGGCGCAGTCGATCAGCAACAAAATCGCCAAAGATTTGAGCTGAATCTTTTAGGTTTCTGACGGCAGCCGTAACAGCATTGCTGATAATTTCTTCATCCATGTTAATTTGGCTCTCGGACTTGACAATTTGATCGTCCGAAAGCGTGGAGCCATTGGAGAACAATACCTGCTCTGGTTCGTATAACGCTAGACCCTCAATAATGGCCTCGTAATCGGGACCATTGCTGTTTCTATTTTCCGTTTTAATGTTATTTGTGGTGTCCGTGGAATTGGAATTGGTTTTTGGTCGTTTCGGTCTTGGCGCTTTCGGCTTGTACTTGTACTCAGTACTGTGGTCCTCAAACCCGGGGTCATCTTCCTCGTTGCTCTATATGATTGACGTAATGTTAAGCTGACTATGCATCTCAAACATGACTTACCGAATCATTTCTTCTGGATTCAACTGAAGCTTTCATTTTCTTATGTTTTTTTGTCAGTGCATGGGCGCGCAAGTCGCACATTTTTGTGTTTACTCCGCATTTGCAGAAGCGACAATGCGCTCTGTATGAGTCCTCCGGATCACGGCGTAGCCATGCTCTGAACTCGGGCATGTGCAGCCAAACTTCTCGCAGTTTTTGTTTATATTTTGTCATTTTATTGTGACTAAATAATTGCACAAGAATAACTAGAATAACTATAATAGAGATGGGAAAAACAAGCCGCTTAGTGGCGTCGATAGTAGTCGATCTATACGTTTTCCAACACTTACTTCTCAGCCTTCAGATCGAACAAACATTTCGGTCACGAAGTTGTAATATATTTCGTTTGTGGAACCTGATAACGAAAAGATCTGTTTTTTAAGTCCCATGATAAGTGCTCTGTTTCTTGCCGATTAAAATAATTTAATTTTGACTTTCATTCACAACTTTCTGCATTTCGATATATGGCCGATAACCATCGTCAGAATATATCAATTCCGTTCTTTCGACAGCCACAAGCGGCTACCGAACAGCTGTTCGCAAAACCCACAAAGGTTAACAGTGAGTAAGCAGTATGTTTTTCAGTTTAGCTGTCTCATAATGGCCCGTGTTACAGTTTTTTTTTATATCGAGTTTTTTATGAACATAATTTTTGGTCTTAAAACAGGACTTTATAACTATCTGGCATTATATTTTCAAAATTATCAATTAATACAATATAAAAGCTTTAAGAAAGAAAATATAATCAAATTGCTGATTGTAAATAAGCCGTATGAATTTAACAGCCGCTAAATTTTTTAATTATCGTCAATCCGATGACGTCTTGCGATAAGAATCATTACCTCTTCAAAAGAATTATCGACTACAAACTGTTTATGTAACCGAAAATCAAACTGATTCAAGCAATCAATTAAATCACCAAGACAAAAGTTCTCCTTCGAAGTAGTTAATTTCTGTCTTTTTTTTTAAGAATCGTTCAATATGATACGCCCAAGAAGTGTACATTTCAATAAAAAGCGTTGTATTTATTTATAAGATTACAAAGAAAGCTTGCATATAAATTACGATAATTATGGAAACACAAGAGCTGTTCTTAAAAGACATTTAAAATAAATAAGTTCTACATTAAAATTTATTTATTTATTTTTATAGTTAAATACTTAAAAACTGTAACTATATTTAGAGATTATATAAATCTAATTGTTGTTCATATTTATTGTGTGTGTTTTTTAATTAATAACGCTTCGAATTTTCGGCATACATCTAAAGCTCAAGCGACTGAAATTAGTTTGATTTGTATATGATAAATTGCTGTTACGCGGTTTACATTGAATACCAACGGTTGATATTCGTAAAAAAAATTAGTTTACAAAATTATTGACTACTTCAATATAGAATATACGTATTATTTTTGTGCACTTTTCAATCAGTCGAGCAATAGCAACAGCCTACTTCGGATTCGATTCGAAATTGAGTTAACATCATCAGTTAACCCAGAAAAAAACACATTTAGTTATATTACTTTTCATTTCTTCCTTTATCTACCACAGATGGATTTGTGATATTTAAACATTTAAATTCAATCCATTATTAAAAACTATGCAATTCATTTTGTTCGTTTTTGTAAAAATTGCTATAAAAACTAGTTTCGTTTCGATTCTTCTCATTTTACACAATATTGTATTTATATAAAAGTATAAAAGCTTGGAAAAGTTCATAGAAGATACGCACTATTTGCATTATCTCAACTCAATTCAAACGATTTCTGAATTTTGATCTCTCATTGTGCGCGAATTTTCGTTGCTCTTACAAACAAAAGAAGACTAGAAGCAACAATTATACACAAAAAAAATAATAATGTTTTAAAATATATAAAGTGACTAAAATTCTATAAAAGCGCATTGAAGAAAAAGTGTTATTGCTAACCAAAAAGAAACGGTTCTTTTTCCATAGCTTTTCCGTCGCGGCTTCGTAAAGTCATTAATTGTGCAAATGTTTTTTGAATTAGGATTTGAGTCTCTCCTGAAAGCGGTTGCATTATTTATCGACACAAGAAACGACTTTACAAGGCTCGTCGAACGCTGCTGGGGATTGTTAAAGGGAGGGGTTTTTTTTTTTTTGGGGGGCTGTAAGTAATTAATTTTTTTTAGTGATCGCGTTCTAAATTAATTGCACCTATACTATGTATACAGTACAATATCACTGGTTGCTTCGTCACGTAACCTAATCCGAAACAAAATTGGAATTCAAATTGGAAAAAAGTGCGTTAAAACTTAAAGTTACTATTACGATTTCTGATCTGATATTATTAGTGGGTTGCATATATTTTCACCAGTTTTTGGCACCTTTCGTATTGTTTTCTGTTCTATTTCTGTTACCGGAGTCTATTTTCTATTCATTTGTTGTTATTCTTGTTCCTTTCGAAAAACGTGAGGAATGCAGCTCTGTGGGTGCAATTTGGGATTCGTCTGTTTTTTTTATGTTTTTACTTTTCTTTTCTTTTCTGTGATTGTTTGTTTGCAGTGCTTAAAAATTAGTTAAAATTATATTTAGTGTGCATGGCTGGTGGTTCATCTTTTACGGCCAGACGCCACAGCAGCCATCACCTGCTGCATTGTTGGCTCCGGAACGCATTGTTGTGGATCGCACTTCATCTTGCCATCACCACCGCAACTGAAATTAGTAGGGAAATATATATTACAGATTAGAAGAATTACATTTGCTAACTAACATCATCATTTAAATTCAACCAGGTTTAGAACTTTAAAAATGAAATATTAGGTATCAACTTACGTGCAGCTGATGCAGGGACCACTTGTGGATTCGATGGGTTCGCCCACCTTGTATGAACGGCCGTTGATGAGACAGCCGGTATGTTGCACGGCATCACCGTGAGAGTAGTTCAAGAAGTGTGGTGGCAGTGTGGTGCTTGTGGTTGTTGTACTTGTCGTTATGTTGAGCACAGCGGCCATTGAGACGGGACACTCGTATCGTGGACAACAGAAGCCAGAGATTGGCTCCTCGTGGCAGCCAGCAATTGGTGGCGGACAAGATTGCTGCAAGCAGATGATGTCGCTTCTAAAGCAGAAGCAGAAGTCACAAGGATCGTCACGTGGTATTTGCTGGGCAGACACATAGATCTTGCCCGCATAGCGACAGGTGCCTGGTCCAAAGACCTCCTCCTCGTCGTATTCGTCCTCGGGATAGGATGGATACTGTGGTGATTGGCTATAACTTGGTGGTGTGATGGGCTCCAGGTGTGGACTCGTTGCTGTTGTTGTTGTGACCGGGGATTCGGTTGTCGTCTCTTTTGTTGGTGTAGCTTCCGTTTCACCCACACCCAGTTTGCTGTCGATAACAGGCGCCTTGGTGGTGCTGGTGAAGTGCGATGCGAACAATGGATGCATTGTGATTCTGGGAATATCTGGTTGCTCTGTGGCGGGTTCCTCGCTCGCAATCTCTGTGGATGCTTCTTCCGGCTTTGTTGTTGTATGTGGTATCTCAGAGACAACAGCTGGTACTTCGGGCTCTTCTGACTCGGGTTTCTTCTGAGCGGGCTCAGTAGCTGTCTCCCCGGATTCCTTGGATTCATCACTTCCCTTGTCTTCCTTGTGTGGAACCTGAGGAGTGTGCTCCTCCTCCGACTCTGTAGACTCCTCACCCTCCTCAGTCGAATCCAAGCTTGGCTTAACATATGATGGCTTAATGGTATGTTCCTCAGACTCTGGTGCTTCAGTGGACTTAACTGGTGTGTCCTTGTCCAGGTCTGGCTTGCCAGTTTGTTCGTCCTCGTCCAAAGGTGTCTTAGTGACAGTTTCATCCGTTGTTGGCACTGGTGCTGGCGGCTTCAGTTTAGCACCAGTAGTTTGATCAGTGGTGTCTTCATCCTGAGCAGCACTTGGCTCTGTCGTTTCCTCACCCACATCTTCGGTGTCAGATGGTTTCTTGCTATCTTCGCTGGTTGCTTCAACGTCATGAGCAATAGGAGTAACTGTAACGGTAGTCTTGTCAGCATCTTCAGCAGAAGTTGTGGCAGTTTCGATGTCCTCAATGGGTTCTTTTCCTTCGTCAGTTTGTGACATGCCATCGTCCATTGGCTTGGTATCCACATCTTCAGCACCAGGAACAATAATTGGACTGACTGTAGTATCAGGCGAAGTTTGAGTCTTAGGCGTGGTCGGTATTGGTGATTCTTGATCTGCGTCGGCTTCAGGTGTTGTGGCAATGGTATCACCAACAGGAGCTTGCTCTGTGACACCAGTATCTTCTGTCTTATCGCTAACTCCATCCCCATCTTGAGCAACTCCTGCAGGCGTAGTACCAATATCGATCTTTTCATCAGCAGTAGGAGTAGAAATTTCAGCCTTGATGGAAGTGGTAGTTGATGTGCTTGTCTGTTTAGCTTCCTCCTCAGTGGGAGTAGCTGTGGATGCAATCTGCGGTTCAATCGGTTTCTTATCTGGTTCCTCAGAGGGACGCTCTGTTGCATCAAACTCATCACCTTCCAGACCATCACTTGAGGGAGCAGCTGTAGAAGAGGGTTTTTCGGAGGGCTCTGCGCTTTCGTCAGGCTGAGGAGCTGCTGTGGATTCAGAGCTATCTTCTGGTTTCTGTTTATCTGCTGGTTCTTTTTCAATCCCTTCTTCAGCTGGTGCAACAGTTGTTGCGTCTGACTTGTCTTCATCTTCGTCAGCAGGAGCTGCTGTCGGGGCCACATCACTGGGTATATGTGCGCCATCATCTTCCGTAGATGGAAGACGAGTTGTGATGTCAGTTTCATCAGAAGAAACAGGTTTTTTGGTTTCCTTTTGTGGCTCAATTGATGATGGAGGTGTAGGCAATGGTGGCATCTTCTTGTCATCAGTTGGCGCTGGCTGAACAGTTGTTGAACTCTGAATATCTTCCTCTCCAGAAGTTGTGGGCTCCTTTTCAGAAGGTGGTTTCGAAGTGTCTTTTTCTGAAGATGGCGCAACTGTGGTGTATTTGTCCAAGTCTTCAGGCTCAACATCAGTTGGCGTCTTTGTCGCTGTTTCAGTAGCCACTTCGATGGGTGTCTTTGCAGTTGATGGGGAAAGTTCATCTTCCGGCTGCTCACCAGATTCCGTAGATACATCTTCCAGTGGCGCATCAGTTGATTGCACAGAAACTCCCATATCAACGGGTTCCACTTTGTCAGTCGGTTTCTGTTCCTTCTTCTCGTCAGAGCTAGGAGCAATGGTTGCTGCATCATATTTATCTTCTGGTGTTTCCTTCTCATCTCCTGTGACTGGCGCTGAGGTTGATGCAGTTTCGTCAGATGGCTTCTCTTCCTTTTTGTCTGCAATGCTAGGAACAGTGGTAGTTCCAAGCTTACTGTCCTCATCGGCACCCAAAGGTGTGGAAGTTGCATCTTCATCAGTTGACTTCTTGGTGTCGTCTTGAGCTGAGGGAACTGCAGTTGTGGCAGCCAGATCCTCGTCAACTTCATCCACGGGAGCCTTATGGTCGTCGTCTTGGACAGATGTTGCAGAAGTTGAAGGTGTAATTGTGTCCTCTGGCGTTTGTGGTTGCTCAGTAACGTGCACAATCTGTGTAGCATCCTCAGGTTTGTCAGAAGTAGGCATATCTGTCGAAGATATGGGTTCTTCTTCAATTGGTACATCATCTGTGGCGGTGTCAATCTTGTCTTCTTGATCCTTCTTATCGGAAGGTGTAGATGTCGAGATTGAGGGTGCTTCTGTTTCCTTATCAATGTCGGCCTCTGTGGATGAAAGTATTGAGGCAACCAATTCGTCCTCTGGCTTCCTAGTATCATCAGAAACAGGAGCAACAGTAGCAGTTGACACCTCATCAATAATGTCTTCTGGAGTCTTCTCATGTGTTGGGCTAATGGTGGAAGGAACAATAGTATCTTGTGTGATTGCGATAGATGGTTTCTCAGCATCTTCCTTGTCTGGAACGGTCGGAGAAACAGTAACAGCTGGCTCAATTTCATTGTCGGCCGATGTGGGAGTTGTTCCATCATGGGCTGGTTTCTTCTCACCCTCCTGTACATCGGAGGCCACAGTTGTTGCTGGTTCGGCTCCGGAGATGTCCACAGGGAGTTTGGGAACCTTCGATACATCATCATCGGTTGTTGGAGCCACAGTTGTGGATACGTCATCAGATGTTTCTTTGTCCTCCTCAGTAGCTGGAGCCTTGGATGCAGTGTCCAATACATAAGCTGGTTTCTGTTCAATATCAGCCTCGGTGCTTGTTTCTTCATCTGCTTCTGCAGGTTTCGTGACATCCTCTTCTGGTTCTGTGGACTTCTCAGTGGTTGGAACAAACAGTTTCTTGGTGTCTTGGTCCTCCTCGGCATCAGGGCGCAGAGTTGTATCAGCACTGATGTCTTCAGTAGAGTCAGAAGGCTTTTCATCAGAAGGCTTTTTAACAGAAGACGTTTCATCAGTGGGCTTCTCGTCAGTAGGCTCCTCATCAGAAGACGGGGCCACTGTTGTGACCTTATCCACAAGATCTTCTTCAACTGGTTTCTTATCAAGATCTCCGACATGCGACTCAGTGGATGACGGCTCTTCATCAGATTCGGTAGATGTTTCATCGGATGGAGGAGTAGTAATCGTAATCTTATCTTCTGGTGTGTCAATCTTTTCGTCAACGGGCTTCTCATCCTTAGTTGGTTTCTGTTCCTCGGAAACAGGGGCGACTGTCGTGGCATCCGATGTTTCATCAGTCTGCTTTTGTTCGTCATCCGAGATCGATGCGGGTGTTGTCATTGGTTCCTGAGCAGGTTGCTTGCCAGTTTCATCAGATGTTGGCAATTCAGTTTCAGTTGGCTTATCAGCATCCTCTTCTGGTGTAGTTGGCTTTTTCTCAGGGGCAGCGGTAACAGGCACGATGTCATCCTTATCTTCTTCGGACGGACGATCTTCGGTTGGTTTCTTGATCTCTTTGGGAGTTGTGTCTTCCTCCAGACCGGGCATTGTTGTAGTTACTGAAGATGTTTCGTCATCGGGCTTAATGTGAGACATTGGCTGCTCAGTAATGCCAGAAGGCATAATGACATCCTTTGGTATTTCTTCAGTCGAATCGATTCTATGATCGATACTTTCAACAGGCTTTTCACTTGCGTCTGGTTTGACAGTTGTCGACTTGTCCTCTGAAGTCGAATCAGCGGGCTGTTCAGTCGAGGAGTCACCCTCACAAATGTAAGTTGGACAGCAACCGTCAAGGAGGTCAGTAGCCAGGATACACTTCTCGCGGTCCTCGGGAATTTTGCACTCCATTGGCGTGCAGGAGACAATGCTGCTGATACACTTGCAGGATACGTCGCAGGGTGTTGTTGCTGGCACATTGGTGTTGTTGGCATAGGTTTTTCCATCGACCAGGCAGTCACCCTCTCCAGGTATAATTGCTGGCAGCTGCATGTCTGGCATCTCAGCGTCAGTGGTCTCATCTTCTGCAGCGGGAGCCAATGTAGGAGTAATATCCTTTTGGCTGTCAACGGGAGTAACCTTGGCTGGCTCTGGCGTTTCCTCTTCAGATGTGGATGCAGTGATATCTTCGTCACTTGTATAGGGAATTTCGGTGCTGAAATCAACTTTCTCGGTGACAGGTGGCAGATAAACTTCTGTCGGCTTATCGGTTGACGACTCATCTCCTTCGTGTGGCTTGGCTGTACTTTGATCCACATCCGGAATAATATCAGACTTGGCCGGTGTAGCTTGGGTAGCTGCATCTTCATCCTCATGCTTGTCGGCGCTACCAGTGGTCTGCTTGTCAACTGAAGCCACGATATCTGGTTCTGCTTCAGTAGATGTGTCTTCGTCAATCTTTCCAGTTGATGTTGCTTTGGGAGTGGTCGACTCCACTGCATCCTTTTTGGGTTGCTCTGTTTGATCGTGCTCCCTTTCATCATCTGAAGTCGGGAGCGCAGTTGTTGCCTGCTCTTCCTTCTCATCAGCAAATACGGGCGAACCCGTGGTGCTCTGTACTGCTGGTTTCTCCTCTTCTGAAGTGCTCTCTGTACTATCCTGGGCACTAACGCCTTCAGTGGTGGAGGTCTGGACATCTTCATCCTTGCTGGCATCCTTGTCGGTTGTCTCTTGCTCATCCACAGTTTTGGGAGTGGTAGACTTGGTAATCTCAACGCTAGTCTCATCTTCCTTAGCAGGAGTTGTAGCCTTGACCGTATCGTCTTCATCAGATGTTGTGCTCGGGGTTGGCTTGACAATATCCTTGTCTTCCTCACCGCTAACTTCACCGGCAAGACTCGTAGTCTGATCAACATCCTCATCTCCACTAACTGCTGCAGCAGGAGTTGTAACCGATTCAGAATCTTTAATGGGTTCTTCACCAGCCGGAGTTGTAGCCTTAACGATTTCATCATCACCAATGACATCCTTGGCAGGAGTCGTCTCCTTGTGCACGGCAACACTGACATCTCCAGCAGGAGTTGTGGCTTTGACAACATCTTCGCCCTCACTAATATCTTCAGCGGAGGTTGTCGCCTCATCTTCCTTCTCATCACTAACTGTACCAGCAGGAGTTGTTGCCTTGACCAAGTCTTCTTCACCAGTAATGTCTTCAGCAGGAGTTGTAGCCTTGTCGACCTTCTCATCAGTAACTGCTCCAGCAGGAGTTGTTGCCTTGACCAAATCTTCATCACCAGTAATGCCTTCAGCGGAAGTTGCTTCGTCCTCCTTCTCAGGCTAAGTGGTGCAGCAGGAGTTGTTGCCTTGACCAAGTCTTCTTCACCAGTAATGTCTTCAGCAGGAGTTGTATCTTTGTCGACCTTCTCATCAGTAACTGCTCCAGCAGGAGTGGTTGCCTTGACCAAATCTTCATCATCACTAATGTCTTCATCAACAGCTGTATCTTTGTCGACCTTCTCATCGCTAACTGCTCCAGCAGGAGTTGTGGCCTTGGCAACATCTTCATCACCAGTAATGCCTTCAGCGGAAGACGTTGCTTCGTCCTCCTTCTCATGGCTAAGTGGTGCAGCAGGAGTTGTTGCCTTGACCAAGTCTTCTTCACCAGTAATGTCTTCAGCAGGAGTTGTAGCCTTGTCGACCTTCTCATCACTAACTGTACCAGCAGGAGTTGTTGCCTTGACCAAGTCTTCTTCACCAGTAATGTCTTCAGCGGAAGTCGTTGCTTCGTCCTCCTTCTTATGGCTAAGTGGTGCAGCAGGAGTTGTTGCCTTGACCAAGTCTTCTTCACCAGTAATGTGTTCAGCAGGAGTTGTATATTTGTCGACCTTCTCATCACTAACTGTTCCAGCAGGAGTTGTTGCCTTGACCAAATCTTCATCACTACTAATATCTTCAGCAGGAGTTGTATCTTTGTCGACCTTCTCATCAGTAACTGCTCCAGCAGGAGTGGTTGCCTTGACCAAATCTTCATCATCACTAATGTCTTCATCAACAGCTGTATCTTTGTCGACCTTCTCATCGCTAACTGCTCCAGCAGGAGTTGTTGCCTTGACCAAGTCTTCTTCACCAGTAATGTGTTCAGCAGGAGTTGTATATTTGTCGACCTTCTCATCACTAACTGTTCCAGCAGGAGTTGTTGCCTTGACCAAATCTTCATCACTAGTAATGCCTTCAGCGGAAGACGTTGCTTCGTCCTCCTTCTCATGGCTAAGTGCAGCAGCAGGAGTTGTTGCCTTGACCAAATCTTCATCACTACTAATATCTTCAGCAGGAGTTGTAACCTTGTCAACCTTCTCATCACTAACTGCTCCAGCAGGAGTGGTGGCCTTGACCAAATCTTCATCACCAGTAATGCCTTCAGCGGAAGTCGTTGCTTCGTCCTCCTTCTCATGGCTAAGTGGTGCAGCAGGAGTTGTTGCCTTGACCAAGTCTTCTTCACCAGTAATGTCTTCAGCAGGAGTTGTAGCCTTGTCGACCTTCTCATCGCTAACTGCTCCAGCAGGAGTTGTAGCCTTGACCAAATCTTCATCACCACTAATATCTTCAGCAGAAGTTGTATCCTTGTCGACCTTCTCATCGCTAACAGCGCCAGCAGGAGTCGTGGCCTTGGTAACATCTTCATCACTACTAATATCTTCAGCAGGAGTTGTAACCTTATCAACCTTCTCATCAGTAACTGCTCCAGCAGGAGTGGTTGCCTTGACCAAATCTTCATCACCAGTAATGCCTTCAGCGGAAGTCGTTGCTTCGTCCTCCTTCTCATGGCTAAGTGGTGCAGCAGGAGTTGTTGCCTTGACCAAGTCTTCTTCACCAGTAATGCCTTCAGCGGAAGTCGTTGCTTCGTCCTCCTTCTCATCGCTAACTGCTCCAGCAGGAGTTGTTGCCTTGACCAAGTCTTCATCACTACTAATGTCTTCAGCAGGAGTTGTAGCCTTGTCGACCTTCTCATCGCTAACTGGTCCAGCTGGGGTTGTTACCTTGACAATATCCTTATCACCGATAATGTCTTCAGCAGAAGTAGTTGCCTTATCTCCCTCCTCTTCACTTGCGGCTCCAGCTGGAGTTGTGGCCTTGACAAAATCAGTGTCATCACTAACATCGCCAGCAGGCGTTGTAGGTTTGTCGGTATCTTTTTCAGCGCTTTCATCTTTAGTAGGCTTATCAGTGTCCTGTGCAACGCTTTCATCTCCGGCAGGAGTTGTAGCCTTGACCATGTCCTCATCTCCACTGACTTCCTTGGCTGGAGTTGTAGGCTTGGCGATATCTTCTTCACCGCTGACATCCTCGCCGGCAAGAGTTGTACCCTTGGAAGAATCTTCCTTATCACTAATATCTGCAGAGGGAGTTGTACCCTTAGCAACATCATCCTCATCGCTGACATCCTCGGCGGGAGTTGTACCCTTGGCAACATCCTCCTTGTCGGTAACATCTCCAGCAGGCGTTGTAGCACTGACCATCTCTTTGTCTTTGTCTTCCTCACTGGTTGTCTTAGCAGGTATGGCTGTAGAATCTTCATCCTCACCGCTACCCTCTTCTGCACCGCTTCCTTCCTTGGTGGGTTCGGCTGGCTTGGCAGCTTCCAGTGTGCTTGGTGTTGTGGCCTTAACAACATCCTCCTCGCCGCTGACTTCCTCAGCAGAGGTCGTCGTGGATGACTCAACGGGAATATCAATTCTAGAATCAGTAGCAGTAGTAGAAGGCGCAGGCTCTTGTTCCTTAACCTTATCGTCATGCTCTGGTGCAAGGCTGGTGACCTCTTGATCGACTTCGCCGCTGCCAACCTCCTCAACGGGGCTTTCAGTGACAGGAACCGTATCCTGATCATCGATATGCTCCTGCAGAGCGACATCCTCTTTGGGTATTTCACCGTGAATATCCTTGACTGGTGCTGATGTGGTAATACCATCCTCATCGCGGCTAATCGCTTGGGTGGTAATCTCAATGATTTCAGTGGTCGCACTATCATCCTCGCAAACATAATTGCTGGGACAACATTCGCCCTCAGCGGCTGGCATGGCATGGCAGGATTTGCCACTGGCGGTAGTCATTGGCATTTCACATTCCTGGACGGCACAGACAATATCGCCACGCATGCAATAACAATGCTCGCAAGCATTCTTGCCTTCGATGGAAGCACCATCTGCATAGTTCTCGCCATTGTGAATGCAATCCGTGGAAACGGATGGACTCATGGTTGTGGTCAGAATAAAGCCTGGCGTTGGACGAACAGTAGTCGTTGTTGTCGACTGATCCTCCAGTTCAAGAACATCATTCTCATGATCTAAATTAAGAAATAAATTATGTTATATCTATGACTTCCCGCAGGATAATGTGCAACATGACTTACCGCAACTGTAGCGCACTGGACAACAGGAACCTTTGTTGTAGATGGGTGTGCAGCCATCGACATGCAGGGTGCACTCCTGCATAACGCATTTGGTTTGATTATTAATGCAATAGCACAGCTCGCAGGGCTTGTTGGGATTCGAGGGCACCTGTGCACCTTCCGGGTAGAATTTCTCTTCAATGCTGCAACCGAATTTTTCGGGTATGCTCAGCTCGGTGCCTGGCTCGGGTGTATGATAAGGCACGTCGACGGGAACTACAAAATGGCAAGCAGAGCACGTATAGGACATATATCTAGAGGCATAGAATAACTATTAGAGCTTACCCTCTGGACAGGTAATGATGGGACAGCATTGATCCTCGCGCTTCTCCACAATGCAATCGTGACCAATGGGCTTGGTGAATGGGCAGACGCGCAGATAGCACATAAGCATGCGATTGTGGCAGGTGCAGTTGAGACACGGCTCATTGGTCATGATGCGGTCACCCTCATTATAATGCGCATAGTTGTAGTAGCAGCCTTCTGCAATAAGTCCAAAGAAAGAACGTTGCGATTCATTACCAACCCAGTCTACCGTCTAACTACTTGTTTATATATACAACTAGAGCAGCCCTGAGAGCAATTCCCGTCAAAACAATGAGCACTTTTCTTCAACTGAGTGTGGTTCCCTAGTCATCAGTTATGCATTCAAGCCAGGTTTTTGTGTGCTACTATGTCGTTTCGGCCATAAATTAAGCCTAGCGCCATCAACTGTCATAATACGTGTGTACCTGCTATAGATATCTTTTATGGCTCATCAAAGTCGTTAAACCGACAAGTCAAATACCGGACAACATTTACCACACACACTTGTGGCTACTGGTTACCTTTTCTCCTTTATCTTTTTTTTTTATTATTTGTTTTTACCTAATTTACTGACGTCCACCCGCAATAAATTTCAAATCACATTATTAACACGTTAAGCGCGGCTTGCAGTAGCTATCCCCAACTCATTCTCCGCATCTGTCTACACCATTGACTGCTTGAGTTGTTGGCCTCTGTGACTTTGAGTCGTTTGGCTAGACACAACATTTTTGATTGAGATCTTTGGTGTCGCTGGTGTCTGCTGCTCACGTTTTTAACATAAAGCTCGTAAAATAGTGTTTATTTCATTATATTTCATTCACCGTGTAACTTTGAAAAGGGGTATGAATTAAATGGGGATTGTGGATGCGACATGTAGAAGCACGCCTTTCCAAAAGTATAAACCGATTTCTTTTTATCGGTGAAGAGCTGGATTAAGCACTCAAATATTACAAAAACTATTTCTCATTTCGCCCCACTACCACCTAAATATCCTTGGGATACTATATATATTTTTACAGGGCATCAACAAGTAGACTAGGCCACTTCTGTGCCTTTTCACAGCTCAGCTAACAGCCTAATAAGGTACGTTTACACCGTAACCCCTCTACTCTGTGGTCAATCGGTAAATGACAGCTTTGGATCAGGTATTGGTCAGGTATCTCTTATAGAAACGATAAGCCGCTTAAGAGCGATTGATTGTTAATTGAGCCCATAACTGAGGATCAATTAATGTTAAATGATTTAATCCCCTAATGTGATTGAATTATAAGTTACAACTAAATTCTTGCTAAATTAATTTAAATTACTATTTAATGTATTTGATGGACATTTCAAGCTTTCGTTGTTATTGTCTCTCACTTACCCGGGTACTGTTGAACTTCCGTGTATTCCTGTAGTGGGGCTGTAAATAGGCAAAGATAGAACAAACAAATTTTTATTATATAATTAAGAAATTGTAGAGAGCCAGTTTTCTGTTCTCTTGTGATACAATTTGTATGATGGCAATATCCGTTAGTCGTCATGACTATAATAAATTAATTTATCCATTACATACACCGAATGCCACAAAGGGAGATGGCAAGAGAGATAGAGAGAGAGACCTCTAATTGTGACTGCATGCAATTGAAATTAGACGAGGAACGTGGCTTGCAAACTTGCGTAGGCCGTGCACTGGAAACATTGGAACCACTGCTGATAGGCTCCAAGTTGGTTATGATAACAGGGCCACGACGAGGAACGCCGATGGCCTGCATGCAACGCAAATAGACAACAAACTGGCAGCAAATTGCTGCAACAACAATAACAACAAAAACAACTATCAAATGTAGCAAGCTAGTGGTCGGCATTGTGTGCGTGCAACTTGTTATTACCACATAATCAAAATTCAGCAGCAGAAGCAGCAACTACAGCGGCAGCAACAAGAATATTGTGGCACGTAGTTCGTCTCTTGGGGCATGGGGAGGATCTTTTTTGCCTGTGTATGTGTGTGTTCCACGATGGCACAAACAAATTGTTTAAGCTGACAGTTAGCCTGCAAGGCGCGCGGTCACTTGTTGCTTGCTGCTCGTTGCTGCCGCCAGCACGACAGCAACATGCAACATGCGGCAAAAGCAGCGAAAAAGATTTGACAAATTGCATTTATATGAATGGTTTTTGTTTGCTGTGATTTGATTAACAGCGCCTAGTTGAAGGGTTGACAATTTAGCACATATATCATCATTTTCTAGGATACAAGCCCTCCATCGAAACTCATAAATTAATTGTAATTTGCCTTGTACACTCAGCGAAGAACTAAATTCCAAATGCGGGGCACTTAGACCAGGCCGAAATAACAATGTGAATTTCTAACGGCAAACATGATGATATTGGCGGAAGCATCTAAGCTCGAGGAGCAGCAGCAACAACAGCTAAATCCAAGTAGCAATTTCAATGGCCAGACAGGAGTTTGTTGTTGCTGTGGTTCTTGCAACGTCTCACTCATTCAAACTAACGGATGTAAATTACATTTTATGCGGTAAGAACAACAACAGCCACGACCGAGAACCTGGCAACGCATAAAAATTCACACATTAACTGTTAAGGATTGGCTCAGACAGTGGGCGAGAGGGCGGCAAAGCGGAGAACGTGGAGGGAGGTAAGAATTTGGCCGAACTTGCAATGGGAGTCAATCATGCAGCCGGTTCGCCAGCAAGCAAGGCAGCAAGAGAAGCTGTGGACCCCGCCCCACCATTCAACCCAGTTGGCCCACCTTGTAATGCAAACTTATGCAACAATCTTGCGCCGATGCAAGTGCAACAACTAAAACTCGAGTTAGAAGAGCAAGACATGAGTATACCGTGTACCCAAGTCTTTACTAAATCGTGTAAAATATTATTTTCAGGAAATTAAATTAATATTATAAATCATTCGGCTTTATGTTGCCTGCGGAATAATTTCCAAAATCTCACAGATTTACTTTTGATGCGATGATGAAGAATAGATAAACTTTATGGGCTTGGTTTCTGTCTGTTACATTACATTTGCAGCACAGCATTATACCCTTTGCAAATAATTTTTAAATGGGTACAAGCCACATAAATAGAAGTTTGGAAGCAGGAGTACGGGGGGGGGAGGGGGGAGGGCAAGGTGTACACGATGATGATGACCAAGACGCATGAGTTGTCGTTTGGCTGCTGATGCTACACATCAAACATGGTCGAGTCGGTCCAACAAACAGAAGTCAGTCAGTCAGTTACTCAGTCAAGTCAGTTGTTGTTGGTCTTGTTGTTGTTGTTATTGTTGTTATTGTTGCTGGTGTTGATTTGGCTGCAGCTTTGAATCTTACTGCTTTTAGCTACATATTCACAGGGCAGTTCTGCTTCGGGCCATAGCAAAAGTTGTTGGCGGCGTTGGTTGCTGTTGCAACTGCTGCTGTTGCTGCTGTTGCTGTTGCTGCTGCTGCTGTCGCAAAGAGTCGTGCATTTTGTTTATTCTAGGAAAGCTCGGCGATCCCGACGTGGCCATGGCTGGATGGCTGCTGCAAGTTGAATGACCCGGTCGCGCATGTGTGCAAAAATGTGTACACAAACCATAAAATACAAGACACTACTAGCCAGGCTTTACTTACATAAGTAGGCCTAGGCTTCAACTCGCGTTTCTTTTGCGACTCTTTGTGGACTCTGTCTCCGCGTCTCTGGCATTGACCATGGCTATGGCAAAAACGGGGCACGCCTTTTGCTGGTTACGCTTTATTATTTAGTGGTGCTGTAGGTGGATGTTGCATGATGCAACAACAGCAACAGCAGCAACAACATCAGCAGCAGCAACAACAACAGCAACAGAAACATGTGAAAAGTGGAAGTTTCGCTAAATATTTGGTTGATAGCAATCGATGCGCTTTTCAATTCTTCTCTACTACCTACAGCACAGTAAGAAAAATATCTTGCTAACATTACGTTGGAATGACCTCAAAAATAATTATTTTCCTTTCTAAATAACCCCAGTTGTTAAAATAGCAATTTACTTAAGTTGAGTACAACAATTTTTAGATCAAGCTCTGAAAGTCATTTATGATTTGATAATCAATATTTGTACATGCAGACCTGATTGATTTTCTCTCTGTGTATATTACACACTCCCTCTATCTTTTCCTTACTATTGCACTCTTCTTCTTGTGTGGATGTGTGCGTGTGTGCGATGCGGAAACCCAGCTAGTGAAATATTTGCCATGCCACAAATATTTCAAAGATTACGAGAAAAACACAAATCTTCCTTCGGCTGTGGCTGCTGCTGTTGCCATTTTGGTGTGCGGCTATTTTACCGCTATTTGGCAACAGCTGCACACCCACAGCAACCACAGTGGCCAAGATATATGGCTAGTTGATAAGGCCAAAAAGCCAAAAAGCCAAAGAACGCATTTTCAATGGCTCTTCTTGCCATATGGGTGACAATAGCGAGCCTCTTGGCTAACATCCATTTGATATAGATGCACGTAATTAGAGCCAGGTCGAAGTGCTCCCATGTCCATGGCTAACAAAAAAAAAAAAATAACGAACAATGCGCTGCTGGCGACCCTTGGGCTGATCCTGGCTGCACATGCAATAAATCCAACTATAATTGCACAAGGCCCCAGCTCGACGCGGTTTCAGTTCAATTATGCAATGGGAGGCCGGAAAACAGAAATTATGCCAGGCCAAAACCAGCATCAGCATCAGCAACTGTTGCATGCAAATGTTGTTGCTGTTGTGGAAGAAAAAAAAAACAATTTCCATTTTCTATGGCCTTGATCACATAATTTCCATAATGCCGACTCCGATCAATATGGAGTGAGCGACAAGCTAACAACCCTCTCTCTCTCTCTCTCGCTCTCCCTCTCGCACTCTATCTGGTTGCATGCATCAGCGTTGAAATAGGAGGCGCCCTAACAATGAGCCCAACAGAGGCAGTCAACAGGCAGCAACAGGCAGGCAACAACAGCAGCAGCAGCAGCAGCCGCCGCGTACAGCAAATGAATTTGCGAGTAATTTAACATGATTATGTCGGAGACAAGGTAGCAATGTAGACGTCGGACAGCAACAGCTCCTTGGAGCTCCAGCAGCCAAATTGGACGCAGTTGCTGCCTCTCAAGTTGGGTTTTCTTTGGCGTGACGCTGTGTTTTATTGCCAGCGCAAAGCCATAGACATGATTCGTTCTAAGTAAATTATGCCCGCTGGTCATGACGACGAGGATGAGTATGCCATGAAATTGCTGCCTGTTTGCCATCATGTCGATGATGACGCTGCCTGCTTGCCTGCTATGCATATGAAACAATTACCAAGACCTGCGCAGAGAGTTCTAGGTCTAGGTAGGTCTTGGCATAGGCAATATGCAAAATCCTGTGTGCTTGCCTGTTGTCTACATATATGAGAGTATTGTAATTGCTCTACGCCCCAGGAGCAGATCATGCACTTACAGAAAATATATGATTTTTAAATTTCATACAAATTATATATTAATATATGCTCTAGTTCTCGAAAAAGTAGAAAAAACTCGCCATTAATCAACGAAAAATGTAATTGATTTACGCATTTGAAAACTTCCAAAGTTAAGTGTGATAGAAATCTATGTTCTTGCCAATGATAGTGTTGAGAGTTTACCGGAATGTTGTAATAGAGTTGTCCTGAAGATGGCAAAACTCGATAGTAAAATATGCTAAAATATTCGATTAACCATTATGGAGAGATTCCAAAAATATCAAGAAATTTCTATGGCATCTCCAACAATGCACTTTTTACATTGTTAGATTGCAACCAAATAACTTGTACCTGCTAATATAAGTATTATTTTTCCTGAGTGTATGCTTAAGTGATCCCTCGATGGCTCGCTGTTGTAGTGCAGGCAATGTCATTAGACAGTCAGTCAGGTTGTTGGGTTGTCAAGTTTGGGTGCAGTGCAACTTTTGCTTTTTGTTTTAACCATCGACTACACATCGGACTGTTTTAATAGATAATAATGAGTCTGATGGCTTCGTCTTTAAACATCTGGCTGCATCTGTCTACAGAGCAAGACGTGGCCTTGAGGCGCTGTAATTAAGCAGTTAAGGGCGTGAAGGAAGCTTTGCATAGTTTCCCACACTGCTCAACTAGTTGATCCTAGACAATGTTTTTGCCTTCCTTTCGCTTATGTGTCGTGTGCTTGATTTGTTCTGATTGCACTGCGTGGCTTTAATGAGCCCCATAACTTCTGGCCATCAATCTATCTGCCTGCCTGCCTGTCAGTCGTATACGCTTATATGCCCCACGGTTACTAAAAAACTAAACACAGATTCAAGCTGCTGGATATATCATAATTTTTGTTGTTTGTGCAATTTTCGAAAAGAACAACAAAAAAAAAGAAAACAAAAATACAGAGAAAATAAAGAAGAAATTCTTACGGTCCGTTACGAATGCGGCAGGCAAACAAATCGCTGCATGCTTCTTCCTGCTGCTCGGCATTCAATTATTACACCGCAAGCTGTTATTGATAACAGCGCATTGATTACTGCAATTGCAGTTGTTGCAGCTTTAGTTTTAGTTTGCCAAAATAACAGGCAAGTTGCTATATAATCAACGCTGCCTGACAAGACTCTACAGCAACTGTGGCAACTGGCAATCAATGCTTGCAACTAGTTTATTTTCAGCTGCGCATGCGTAACTGTTTATTAATTTGTGCTGGCATTTTCTCGTCTAACTGTCGAAATTTATTTCGAGCGCGTGTCCCTGTTGACAAGCCGGAAGATTGATGATAATGTCCCCTATAAGTTCTCACGTTTGGCCCCACCGTTTCAATTAGTTACGTCTGTGTAACTATTTGTGTGTGTGTGTGTGTATGCTGCCTCATTTGGTAGGAGATTCACGTGGCATTTCTAAGCCCGCTAATTGCTTGCCCCCTGGACAGCTGGCGATTTGTATCTACTCCCACGGCAGAACCTCCAAGGCATTTAGCCTAATGATTGGCGAATGCAGATAATGCCTGACTATAAGGAATGTATATACACTTAGAGAATGATTATGTTGGAATTCCCAATGTACTGCACTTTAAATTGCATTTTAGGCTTGAGTTGAAAATGACCTTATTTCTTGCAAGTGTATAAATATATATATACACATATATATAGAATATTTGTTGCGTGCTTGCAGAACTGGAAGAAGCTGATTCAAGCATAAAAAATTCAATGTTGGCAAACGCACAAAGCGAGGAACAAAAGATCAGCAAAGCGATAATTATACAAGGTATTAGTTCATACCCCTCTCTTTTTCATTCTCCACTTCTCTCTCTTTCTCTCACTCAGACTCGGTTAGTAGTTAGTAGTTAGTAGCCATTGCTAAGTGACTTAACATGACCTGGAGATGGGAGACTGCAGACTGGAGAGTCGTAGGTTTGCCATGCGTAAAGGTGCCAGGCTGCGAGTTGATTGAACCCGCTGCTTGGCCAGCCAGAGAGTTGTGGCTAAAGTTACACAATTGAAAAGCTGTGGGAAGTCATTGCACCATGTGATAAAGATCTATGTGTAAAGAGCATAACATACTTGCCAGCAGCCTTAGAGACATGGCTAATTACCATTCTTTCGCTGCAAGACTTTCCTCTATCGACTTAATAGTGTCAAAATGTATTCTAACACGCAGACCAAAGACCAGGAACATGTTTCACTTCAAGTTAACGTTCAACCAACCGCAAACACCTTAGCTGACCAGCACTACACTCAGAGAATCGCATTAGCCCAGCCCAACCTTTGGAAAATTGCATTACAATTAATTTAACTTTTT